TAAGTGACTATATAGCTGATCTCGAGCGCACAACTATTCAAAGTTGTACCTCCAAAACTATTACAGGTATCAACTTGAAAATTTAAAACAATATTCTAGAGATGTTATAGAATTAAATAGGACAAAACAAGAATTGCGATGCAAATAATTCTGTGAGCAAACAAAACCACCAGAAAATTCAAAGAAGCAGACAACTTTGGAAGTTGAAGAAGTAGAAGTAGAAGAAGTACTACCACAATAACATTAATGCCATTACTAAATGCAAGCGAATTGGTTCATACTCAAGACAAGGGACGGAGGTGGCTACATATGTCATGCAAGATGAAGTAAAAATACAATAAACTGCAATACCGCCACCACAAACTACTCACAAATTGCAGACGAATCAAGGCTTAATTTATATGGCATTTAGTAAGCGAAGAGTTAGTCAAATAACCTCATTTTTAATTTTACTTTGATTACTTTTTCCTTTTACCTAAGCTACCTTGACTAGTGGAATGCATTTATTACCATAATAAAACAGCTGGAATAACTACAGTAACATTATTATGCTCCATGTTATATAATATAACGTAGTGGAAAGAAAAACGAAGGGTTAAGCTAACAATACTAATCAGGGAAATTGCATTTACAAGGAGTAAGCAGGATGCCCAGTTGGCATAGCAATGACCAAGAGCATGTTGGCGGTTAGCAGAGTGCAAACTTTTATCATTAGGCCTTGGGGAAATTTTACGGGCACTTAAGTTTTCCTACTTGTTATACTTGTTATAGCTGCTTATGCCACAGTAATGTATGAAACACAATGAAGGCGACAGACGACAACCAGCATCTGTCAAATATTAAAATATATTAAAATACACACATATTAAAATTTTATTGTAGTGAAAAGTTTTAGTATGGCAACAGCGAAATTGTGCTCGGCTGTTTGGCATGTCGCTGCCGCCTTCAAAATGTTCCAGCAGCTAGCTTCAAGACGCCATTTGCAGACAAGAAAATTTCGCTATTGTGCAGTCTATGTGTTTAAAGCTTAACTGTGTGCCACCCTACTTTTGCCTTTATTGTTCTAAAATCTGTTTGGTGCGCGTAGCGTTTGAGTTTGCTCTCTTCTTCTGTTGTTGTTTTCCATTTCATGTTTTGGCCAACATATTTTTTAAGATGTCACTTTTGACATACCGCGACCATCGCTGTCGCCGTGGCTCAACAATTACCGTGAATGCAGTGCGCTTCTCCTACTTCAAATGCAATTTCTTTAGCGACAGGCAAATCATAGAATATCATATAAAAACAAAAACTAATAAAACGAACACACAAGTAGCTGTATATGGAGCAATGAAATTACTTTGATGAGCACTGCATTGTCTCAACTATCATAACCAGCACCGAACATGAAAAGGATATTTTTGTTATATTATTCCAAAAGTTTGCTTGGCCTCAGCATTTTCTATATTCTTGCAACATGTTGCTACAGAGTAGAATAGTTTTGTTCACCTAACGGTTGCTTGTATCGCCTAAACGCGATAAAAGTACACAACCTCATTTGTCAGATCATCGATTCAAAGTGCTCGCGATAGTTGAGATGCCTAGTATGTAGTATATCTTAAAGAACAAGTGAATCATATCCTGATTGAAATTTGATTCACACTTGTGCACGAATTTGCCTAATTAGGCCACAAACGTCAGCTACAGCCACCGTATTACCAGATTTGACACTGTGCTGTTTCAATCAAATGAGCAAGACCGTGGTGGTGTATGGAGCAAAATGTAGGATATATTTGCTTTCGATTTCTCCAAAAAGATCGTTTTGAATATCTGTGTGTAAAAAATGAAGAAAAAAAAATTAAAAACAAGATTTTTTTCATAGTCTAACTTTGGTCTTATATACATATTATATTTGCACCCCTGGATTGCAACACCATCTAAATTAATTTAATATCTCGACTTGGTGTTGAAAGTTGCCAATTATTGCCCACAAATGTTTGCGTTTACTGGCCTTAGTTGTGTTGTTGTAATTTAAGTTTTGGCCTTCAGTTAAAAACTGTCAACCTGACATGGTTCGCGCGACGCTGCTACTTTGTCAAGGCGAATCCAACATTTGTACCATGCAGTAATTATAACAGTGCGTTCAGTGGCTTACGCGAACATTTTTAATTTCTGTTATGACGGGTGTTACGTTAAGCTAAAACAAGTGGGCCATATTAATTATTCGCCATTCTCATCAGACATTCCGACTTGTACAAAATTAAAATATGTAGCGTGCACGTGGCATACCCAAGTTCTTCCAAAATTAGTTTGAAAATTTTTGATCAAATTTTTATTTAATAAAAAAGATATTTACGAACCAAAGATTCTTGTGATATTTTCAATTAAAGAAAGTTAACTAAATTTTTATGTTTTATGTGCGGCACTAGATGTATCGCACATAGCCTTGTTCAAGCATATGCACATACTCGGCTAACTTGTTGACCAACTACACCCTATGCCGCATTTTGTATCAGCAATTGCTGCCAGCTGGATTTTTAAACAAATTTTTCCGCTCACATTTCAACACACATCATTTTTCCCTCAGACGTAACGTGGTACTTTTTATGACTGTTATGATTCTTTATATTTACATACTCGTTTTTTTTAGAACATGTCCAGACTCAATGGCTCATGTCATTGTCTTGTTTTTACCTTTTCACTTCGCACTTTTGCTAATTGGCAGTCATTCAATTGCTATATATTTTTTTATGGCCGAAGCTTGACCTATTACATTAACCCGTCTGATGCCACGCCCAAATTACAAATAAGCATACGAAATATTTACAAATTTCTTATATACCTATATATATATATATACTTATATAAGAAATTCCTTGCACTTACTTTAATAACCATTCCGATTATTATAGTTTTCCGTAATATTGTAATATTGCTAAGCTGTCTAAGCAGTTAATCCAGAATGAACATATTAACTCAAGCTGTTGTGAAGTAGAGTACAATGAAACGACACGTGCATACATACATACATATGCGGTAAATGTATTTAGTGGAATGGTGCAAATGTTTTTGGCAGCTGTTTGACTTATCTTAACCTACATACAAGTGTTAAGCCACCTGTCAATTGTGGTTTTGTCTGTGCAGGTCCGATATGGTCAGGTTAGAACTTTTTTAACCACAACTACCTATTTACCTATATTCGTAGTTACAAAGCGATGAATTCTCTTAATTCGCATGTATTTAACGAATCACACTTTCTATATGCAAGCTCTTAACCCAATGTATGAGTTTCAAATCCACAATCGAAAGTCGCTCCCTACCAATTTGTTAGCTTTTGCTTGTTCAGAATAACACATAATAACCAATAAATCGAATACAATCGATTTTGGTGAAAATATTTAGTGGGTAATTATAATGCATTCTGCTTCTCTCACAATCATCCTGTGCTAATATGAATGAATATAAATATGTATGTATTACACCGGCATTTAAGTGGACATACATGTGCTCAACACATGTTTAAACGAATTGATTTTCATATGAAAGTCGCATTTGTTAACAGTTTGGTGCTCTCAAAAAATGCTGTTCGTCCTTATACTGTCTGTAAATACATACATATGTATATATAAATAACATACGTATGCATGTACATAGCTTGTGCTCGATTTATGATATCTGCGGTTTGCGTGTTGATTATGATGAAAATAACACTTGTGTGTGTTTAATTTTTACATGTTTTGTCTTGCTAATTTTAGTCGTTTATAGCTTTGTTTAAAGCATCCTTTCTGTTATGTAACAGCAACAGAGAGAAAGTTAAGAGAGAGAGAGAGAGAGAGTGTGTGTGAATATCACGGTATACTTTGCTTTATAGTGATACTTATCTAAACTGGAGGTTTTCTTTAACTTATTACAGTTTGTCTTCAATACAAATTTAGCTTATGTTTGTGTTAAAGTGCTGTTTACAATTTTTATACGACCGTAATAGATAAGCTTTGTTGAAAGGCAAACACTCATATGTTAAATCATACACAGAATGAAATAACTAGAGACAAATGTTCCGTATAACTTATCTTAGCGTAATTTTGGTTTTGTCTCTCACTGTTAACGAATTAAAACTCAACATATATTCCCTCATTGCTAACAGGTTCGAATAAAGTATAAAATGCGGACACCAGTGGAAGCTACAGTTGAATACTATTATCAGTTAACGAGCAGCATCTCGTGCAGATGCATCGTTTCGCGCGGTAAATAGCAGTCCTTGCCATATAAAAATATGTAAACTGTGAAAAGTGTTAGTAAATGTCTTCTAAATACATGCAAACATAGTAATCCGTCCGTAATTTTGAGTTGCTCATACGACACGTTGGTCCGAAACACTGATTGTAACTGTGACCAACTGAGTATACATGCGAAATGGAAATATAAAAAGCAATTAGTGCCAATATAGCAACACTTAATAGTGTGAACTTAATTTAATTGTTTAGTGTATTAGGGTTTAATTGGCCAAAGTGGCGTAATCGAAACGATAAAATTTGCGTACAAACGCTTATCAACATTTAGTGCGTTATTAAGTATTGGTTTTAGAATTTAAAACAATTAAATGAAATAATTGAAAAAAAATCTATGTGAAACATATGTTTATGTACTTATATACTGAAAAATGTTTGTTTACACAATATTTACATATATAACCGTAATTATACTTTAAAAAATGTATATGACACAAGAAAAGTTTACACAGATTATGATACAACAGCTTGGTAGAATCTAGAAAAATTGGTATATGTTAGGTTAAATTCTTACTCGTGCGTTCTAAAGTCGTTTAATAAGATCTTTTAAAAGTCGTTAAATAAATCTTTTGAATGAAACGTTGGAGGCTACTATTTACTTAATAACTGATTAGCTCTGTGATTTAAATATACACGCATTTGCTTATTTAAATATAAATTTGAGTTTATTTATTCAAATTTTTAAATTTATTTTTAATAACTTTTTTTTTTTTTATTTAATTAACCAAGAAGTGATTTTTGAAGCCAAAAGAGAGACTACAAGGAGAAAATTAGGGCGAACATATATATTTTGGCAGACATATTGAACTGCTCTAAGTTTCACAAATCTCAAATCAGTCGCTGTTCCTTGAACCCACCAGTAGTATAAGGGTATATCAAAAATTGCAGTCAAAGTGAATATATTTAAAGAAATTCAAATTTCTAACAATTCAATTATTAACTAAAGTAAAACTGTATAACTGGTTATTTTCGCAAAATCCGCGAAATCCGCAATGAACGAGCTCAATAGTGTAAATGTACAAATACATAATTGTTTCCTTTGGCCTTTTTCAAGGTAGGCGTAATTTCGAGTGAACAATCAAACAGTAAAACAAAGTAAATATGCCGAGTTACTGTGTACACTTCGAAATTCGGTTATTCTGATTTATTCACAAACAGAGATTGAATTAATTTGTGATGCGGTGGATCATGAAATTCGAAATATTGCATATCGACCATATTCAGTCTGAATTTGACTAGAAACTATATGAATGTTACCAACTCTTTTGCGCTGATATATGGTACATATGTGTACAAGTATATAGCAGCAGACATTAATTACTTCATACTTTCGAACCAATACAAAGATTTAATGGCTTTGAAAGATATGAATACTTCCAACTGGTGGATTCTATTCGGCGTTTTAGCACTCATTCCAGGTAAGTGAGAAAAAATGTGAATTAAATTAAATAATTTTTTGTTATGCTGGAATTTTGGTATCGTTTACGCCAAGAACCAGACAACCAAGGCAAATTTAAAGATATATTATTAATTGTAACTAACTGAATTATGTTTAAATGCTGTTATTGCTGTTAAAATTAAAGTCTGTCACGTCATTTTTATTACTCGCTCTAATGGCAACGATTACTATTTAATTTTTAAATAGTCTCGCTGTCCAGACACACACAGCGATTTGAGAGATCTTGCAATTGAAGCAAGACAGTCACGTGCTTTCTGTAGAAGAGCGAAAATACAATAGCAGTGTGCCTAAATCTCAATGAGCATCGTATTTCAATAACTTTGTTAGTAGTTCTTTGCTGCAACAGCTTTATCCATTCCGTAATTATGGGCATCGGCATATATGTAAGTAGGTTAGGTATGCGTTTCGCATGGCTTAATATTCTTGGGCAGATTGTGTGAATTTTTCACTTTAACAATTTCGACCGCAGAAAAAATAAGAACAAAGCTTATGTTCTAAAAAATTAATTACTGGCCATGAATTATAACATTGAACAACACTTATATGTAAACAATATACTGTGATTTATATATGTTACTTGCTAGTTATCACATTTATCATGTCACAGGTTCGACGTTGAATGTTATCGAGAGAGCAACAGTGACGGCTGAGAAGACCGTGGCAACTGCTTCAATACCGCTGGTATCAAAAACACTCGTGCCAGCTAATATGGAAGTAAGCATAGCAACAAACCCTTTGAAAACGTATCGAAGAGCTAAAGACATTTCTGCATTGCATTCGGAGGAGTCGACAAGAGTGCCGACACCAACGCGCCAACTAAATTTGGATATAGTAGTTAAAACAAAGGCATCAATGACATCAAATGCAATGAAACAGCAACGTAAAGATGAATTATGTCTTCAAGGCGTTGAAGGAAACTTACATAAAACTTCTGAGGATGCCGAATTTTTTATTATGCCTACAACACAACTAACTATGGCATCAAAAAAACTCAAAGCATTCAATAGAAGTTCAGAGCAATCAATAACGAAAGTTAATGCGACAACAAAGTCGACAAATTCTACCGAAACAGTTGATAAGGTCACAGAATCAACAACAGAATTGACATCAAAAACAATAATGACCATAAGAAATTCATTGGTATCCAAAATTGAACCAAATGTAGTTTCATCCAAAGTGACAGCTGCTACGCAAGCGCTGTCAGCTCCATCTCCAACGCAAACAGAGCTCAAATTATTTCCAGTTACTAGTAGAAATAAAGAATACGCATATAATAATCATCAAAACGTGACTGATATCCGACATCTCTACAGAGGTTACAATATTAACAATAAAAAATGTAATTACAATTACGATTACAACAAAAAATCATTGGTTCGAAAAGTTGATGACGACAACAGCATTGTAGATGAGCATGACATTAAACATATTTGTAGCACATATCAACATATACTACAGACACAACAGCGTCACAAGCCTCAGAGAAAAAGCAGACACAGCAATGACTACCACTTAAATAATAACAATAGCAAATTAGTTAGTCTAGAGGCATCAAACACTGCTGGCAATATGACGCTGAAACAGCAAACACATTCGGTGAGGAAAATACGTCAACAAAGCACTCGTCAAGTGAAGCAACAGCAATTAAATTTAACAACAATTGCACCTATTGGAGCAATGAAAGTTGTGCCACAAACCGAAAACTATTTGATCGGCAATGACACCGACTTTGAAGGAATCGTAGTGTTTGCGAACCAAACAGCAAAAAATATAAATAATACATTACGAAGTTCGAATATTCTACCGACGATTTTGACAACCAGACCTTATTCGGACACAACAATGGATGTAACAATAGCAGTCGATGAACCGGAAATTGTACACACCACAACAAAAGAGCTTTCGTTTTCAACGGTATCACTAACAACAACGAAGCCAACGACGAAGCGACCACCACCAACCACAACACCACAGCCCACTCCATCAATCGACGATCACCAAACAGTGATCAGTCAAGCAGGCACACATGCCTTTCTCCCATGTAATGTAAGTAGGATTTTTAAGTTTGTGATCACAAAACGTGAGCAGAACTGCTGACTGAATCATAAAAAGTAAAAGAAAAAAATACGTGTTTGAACTAAGACCATTAACCAGATATTGGACGGAGAAAAAACAAATAAAGTGAGAATTGTATTTTTAGCAGATTTTTTTACAAAAAAAAAACGCAGATTTTGGTGAAAATTTGTCGACGTTTTCTGTTTTAAATAATTGTAATTGAACAAAAACAAAAATCGTTCACAGCCAGACCTTGTAAAGAATATCTTAAAGACCCGTGTAAAATTTCATTAAGATCGGTTGTGTAGTTCGCGAAGAAATCTTGACAAATGACTTTGAAAACACAGTTTCGAGAAAGCGCCTTTAAAGTTTTAAGTGACTTCATAGCTGATCTCGAGCGCGCAACTTTTTAAAGCTGTACTTCCAAAACTAATACAGGGATCAACTTGAGAATTTAAGACAATATTCTAGAGATGTTATAGAAGAAATAAAACAGTAACATTTTTTTTTGTGTTTTTTTATCCCGTGAAACCCAAACTTATTTCATAATTGAGTCAATTATTACGCATATATTGCATATGAGCATGTTGAAAATCAGTTGTAAAAAAAACATCAGCAAATTTGTACTATATTTGGCTGAACAGGTGAAGCAGATCCTGAGAAAACCGATATCCTGGTTACGAATACGCGATGGACACATTTTAACAGTTGATCAGATGACTTTCATTGCTGACCAGAGATTCCAGCCAATTTTCGCACCGAATCCTGATCGTTGGTCACTACAAATCAAATATGTTCAACTTAAAGACGAAGGCACCTACGAATGTCAAGTATCTACAGAGCCAAAGTCGAGTGCCATTGTCACATTGCGGGTAGTTGGTAAGTAATATTGAACAACAACAACAACAAATTATTTTGATCTATGATAAAGCTTTTAAAAGAAAAATTTAAATTTATAAATAGAAGATCCGGCCATAAATATTATTATAACAAACTATTCAATACAGTGAAAATATTATTTACAAATAAATACACAAAAGTTATTGCCAGTATAAGCATCCAAGGGTTGAACTTGAGGCCTTACCGGTTCCACATGGAGCGTACCAGAAAAAAAAACAACGCCTTGCTCATTAATAACAATCAGTATATATATATATATTATTTTTTTTTTATATATACCTACATTTCATTGAAGTAATAATAAGAAAAGTAATAATTTAAATGAATCACACATGAATTTAGACCACATAGTTATGATTTAAAAAATTATTTATGAATTGTTTTCACTTTTAACATAATTGAGACATAAACTATCCTATATTATCTTATTAAAATCGGTTAAGAATTTAATAGTTTATGCCGGACAAAACATGGCACGTAATATTTATTGTATATAATTCAGTGATGGTTGCATTCAATCAGCATATACTTGTACTCACATGCCTATGTAAATATTTATGTATATGTGCCTATTCTTAATAATATGCTAATTCAATTTGACCGAATTTCCATTAACTTAATTTCCTGCTTAATTTATATTTATCTACTGCAAACATTTCCGAACGCATCGTATTAATTTCGCATAAAAATGTCGAAAAATTGCTTACTTACACTCAAAAACATTGAAACACGCTTGAAATCACAATTAATGCATCCGATGTTTGACGCTTGGTTACGCATTAATATTACCTATACCTACATGATTCTGCGTGTTTCGCCCTTCCTTTTCATTGTGCTGACCGTTGCACACTGTCGCCGTCGCTTGCTTGCTGGTGCAGAACCGAAAACGGAATTGATTGGTGAGCCTACACAACACGTCAAGGCTGGCAGTCGAGTAAAGCTGCGTTGCATAATTAGTCAGGCATTGGACCCGCCAGTTTTTATTAATTGGTTCCATAATCAGAAGCAGATTTTTTTGCATAGCCGAAAGGGTTGGCGCACGGAAATCGAACGCAACGTATTGCCTATACAGGGTTTCTCAACGACTGCGGAAACAACAACAACAACAACGGCTCAGGTTGATAGTGCAACAACAACTACTCCGCCGATAAATGCTGCTGCAAACTCAATAGCAACGTCCAAAACGCCAGTCTTGCTCTTGGCTACCAGCTTTGAAAATGAAGGAAACAGCACACCGGTAGTCCAAACGACAGTCAGAGACGTAGAATTGACAACAGTAACGCCTTCGACCCCGTTACCATTTTCTCGATTAGGTACAGACGTCGCGACAGATTTAGCGGACAGCGACAATAGCTTTGATTTTGCCACTGGTAACTCTACTTTCTCCCCCCTCCCCACCGTGGCGGCGCCAGTGGATACCGTGTCAGCCGAAGTGTCAACCAAAGTAAAGATGACTCATTGTCCGACAACTTCTTTAACAATAACAACAACGATAACAATGTTGGCAGCAGTGAAAGTACGAGAAGTAACGGTAAGTTGATTTAAATTAATAATGTGCTTAATAAAGTTTACATATAAAGAAGATGAAACGAGTTTGTGCCCCTATTTAGAAAATAATACTGCTTGTGGTCTAATTACTTTTACAATTCAGACTAATGAATCATCTGCTAGCATTACGTGTATTTTACAATTACGTAGGTTGCCTTTTATATTTTGGGATTGGAGAACAGAAACGAGTTTTAATCATTGAAAATCGCTTTATTTTTTTTTTAATATTCTTTATTAGGATCTGTACACTTTTGCATGCGTTTGAGCCAATTGCCGAAGCACTTTTGTCACTCTAATTGAGGTATGTTTAAAACACACTTATAAAAATAAGTCACTCGGTGCCAAGTCAATACTATACAGTGGATGACTCATCACATCGATGTTTTGAGTGCTCAAAAATGCAGTTGTTCCAGTCGACGTGTGAGAGCTCGCATTGTTGTGCTGAAGAGTTATTTATCTTTGGGCGGTTGGCTTTCCTAATTTCTTGAAAGACAACTGGCAAACAAATAGTTGTGTACCACTCAGAATTTACTGTACTGGTTGTCAAATCCCGAAATATCAAAGGCAATCTACGTATGAATATATTTTACATTTCATTGGTTATTGTTTTTTCAAAAACGGATTTTCAACGATGTGAACCCAAGTGACAATGTTTGCTTTCTCTTTCGATACTACGCAAGATTATAATAGTTCTGTTCATCTATAATTGACTCTTTCACTCATATTAAAAGTATGTAAATTTTTTTGTTTTCTCGTGCTTGGGTCATTTATTGTAATGTGAAATAGGTTAATTGGTCTTTTTGAAACTGCCCTAGTATGATCTAAATCGTTAGCTTGCATACTTAATTTTTGACGTTATTCATTAGAAAATTATATATCGTTAAGTAATTTCATGCCATCCTTGATACGAATAGTGGGCACGGTCATAACCCAATTTGCACGTAATTTAGTTAAGTGGTTAAACGTACTGTATATATCATTTCTTGAAACGCTAAGCTTAAACATATCAAGAAGAGTTTTAGGACAATGCCAATTTTGATATATCTTTATACATAGTAAAGTATATAATAAAACTTGAATGAATATGGTGTAACAATAATATGTCTACCTCGATTATTTAAAGATATTACAAAAAATAATAAGGCGAACTAAGCTAAAATGTATACTCTTGTGCACTGACATAAAAGTATAAGAAGGGAATTTGTAGCAAATGATCACACAACTCACATCATCAACATTTCCGACAACACGATGAAAAATGTTTATCTTACAATTTTAATTGCAGACTGCATCTTTAATAATACCATCCGTGGGAAAAAAGGACTCCGGCAATTACACCTGCAGCCCATCTAACAGTGCTCCGAAAACAGTTGTCCTTCACGTGCTGAATGGTATATCATCTCTATTTAACAAATATATAGATTTACTTTTCTATTTCGAAGTTAATCTGTGCTCATATGGAATATTAGCTTATATACAGTTAAGATAGAAATCAAGTTAAACGCTTAGACTCATTTAACGGATAGCTATAACATTTTCATTGAAAAGGATTAGATTGCAATTCAAATCAAATGTCTACTACTTTCAACATTTATAATCGAATTAAGTTACCATTCTCTACACTGATAATGCTTTTATTAGCTTCATATGTGTGTTTGTATGTATATATGTATGTATGTTTCCAACTTTTTTCAGTGCCACTGAAACTAAATGGCACTGTGACAAAATAATCAACAGTTTGATAGGCACTGCAGAAAAAACATTTAAAAAAAAATGCCACTAATACTATGCAGCTAAAAGCATCACCAATCCATGCTGTCATTTGAATTACAAATTTACTCAAACACATCCTTAATAAGAGTGAAAAGTGCATAATAAATATGGTTTAAAAACTAAAAATTATGCTTTTACAGCTCATTTAACTAAAAGGTGAAAAATAATTCTTAAAATACTTAATTCTAAAAATGTTTGTATTATTGTGCAAGAGGCAAAAAATTTCCTGTGGTTAATATCAACACCGTTAACAACAACAACACGGCATATCAAAAGCACTGTACTATACATATATGTATGTGTGAAGATATGTATGCGCATATGTCCAATTAATAATGCATTTTCTGACAAGAGATGAAAGATTAAATAAAACTGTTTCACCACATTCTATAAATAATTTAATTTACATAGCAAGTAAAATGTGTCATTAGCAGCGACTGCCCGCTGACATTGATAGTTTCTGTTCAAATTGAATTAATGGTGTTACTTCATAAGAATGTGTGCGAGATGTATTTGAAATTTTTTTTAGATAATTTGTGAAATGGATAGTTGATATAATATGTTTATACATATATACGATCGATTATACGGACGTCGTAAAAAAAGCTGCATAAATTTTGACTTTGTTAATAACTTGCTAGGCATTGCTCATACGCCCCGGTAAACGCTTTTGTTTATTGTATTAATATGTTCGAATAGATACATAGCCATTCCTATATACTACCTTAAATTTCGAACGTTCATAAATGTACGAATGTATATGTATGTGTATGTGGACAATACCGCCCAGAAGAATATAATGGAAAACCACACACACATATATAATCTCAAATTTAAAGTCATATTGGTATGAGTGCTTTGTTTACAGCTTCAATACTCTCGATTGTTGAGTTATTAGTCAATATAATTCAGTTTTAATTATGACTGAGAATCATCTTGTATTTTAATAATAAAACGAACGCTATATGTGTACCTCTTACTTACAGGCGAGTACTCGGCATCGGCGATAACGTCTGGTGTTAATGATAAGATTTGCATTACCAATCAATCTAAGTGGCGAGGAACACTCTTAGCTCTGATATTTTGGCTTTGGCACTAAAAATTCACTGCATTTTTACGCTGTAGCGAATTCTTTTATCGAGCAGAATGATGGCTACGCTTGGACTTTATTAACCAGCGTTCAATAACGAAAACAGAGTATAAGAGATGTATGCTCGACTTATGGCATATTCACGGAGAGTAATATCGTAACATAAAATATGTATTTCGGTGATAGTAAACGCATAGTTAAATTAATATTTAATGGGTATATTTATTATTTATTACATGTGGATACAAAAACATCTTTTTCGCTTCTGAGGACTATGAATAATATTAATAATAAAATTTAATAAATAATTAAATCTTATAAACATATCTAATATAAATCAGTAACAGCACTGAAATGTCTTCCAACTTGGAAATTGATTTTTACTAATCGCTATTTGTTCTCTTTCAGATTTCTAAATAATAATTTGGGTTTTTCTATTTTATATTGTATAATTTCGACTGATTGTAAATATATAAAGTCATACGATTCTCATTGAAATTGTAAATAAAATATTGTCATATAAAATAAGTTTAGACTGAGGTTTTAAATAATATTATATTAGAATTCATAATGTTAAAGCTAATTTATAATACAAAACATATTATATAAAGTTATGTTGTTCATGAGAGCAATTAAATCGTTAAAATAGTGATATTTATAGTACATTCACTCGTTTTGTCAAGCAGTAAGAAAAAACATTTCCGTTTCTAAGTATACGATCATAATTAGAGTTGGTTAAGAGTAAACTAGGTCTATTTGTTATCTACAGTTACAGATGTTAAAACGAAAACACAAATATGTTTATCTATTTAACATAAAACTATAAATAAAAGTTAGCTAAAGGGTAAACTGAAACGGACAAATGCCCATGCAACATTAAAATTTGTTTAATTAATGTTAACTATAAAAATAAAGCGTATTCCCAAAATAAAGCGTGGGAGAAGTTTGTTTATAAATATTGTATGTATGTTTGTACAGCTCCACAAATAGACTTGCGTCTTAGTTGAAATAATTTTTTTCAGATTTTTTCCATTCAACATCAATAAAATGTTTTGCACTCAATGAATAATTCAAATAAAGAGCGTACTGAGATCAGAAGAAGCAAATACTAGCAGGACAATTTTTCCAAAGCATTGCTACAATCTCCGATAATATTGTTCAGTTCAGACCACTGTAGCACATAGCTGTCATAAAAACTAATCGATCGAAACCAAGTTCTTGTATGGAAAGCTTTTTTTACTTAACAAGATCGTTACTATAAAAAATGCAGCTGTGACGAGTAGATTCGGTGCAGACGAAATTAAGTTATTTAAGTTTATGATAAGAACAGATATAAACATAAAACAATATTTTTTATATTTTATTCTATTACTGGAACTGAAGAAGCGCCAATTGTACTTCTTTTTTGCTGAAATCAGATTTCGAGATCCGCACCAAATATTTGTGCAAATACTTTCTAAGCCTGTTTACATTCAAAAATTTCAGTTTTTTTATACTCATTAAGTAGTTTCAACCTAAGGAACTTTCTAAGTCCGTGATAAGGAATTTTTATACTCTCGCAATATGTTGCTACAGAGTATTATAGTTTTGTTGACTTAAATGTTGTTTGTAACACCTATGGAGATAGGTATAGAGTCACATACACATATACAAATGATCAGGATGACTTTCCGTCTGTCCGTGCAAGCGATAACTTGAGTAAAAATGTATATATCTTAATGAAACTTGATACACGTGTTCCTTGGCAGCCAATTGTAGACGGGCGGGAACAGATCGCTGCCACGCTCACAAAATACTGTAAGAAAATGGTCGAAATTGGGCTACAACCACGTCTACTTTCTTATATAACAAATTTAAATTACATATGATTCATTCACTTTAAAAAATTCGAATCAAGCACTAATGTAGATATCGGCATAACACTTTGGAAAATGGTGCTTTTAAGATATGCCATCTTTATTCTAAAAATTACCAAAATCTGATCATCAGTTTTTACCTCTTGCGTGATTTATAGATATCTTCGTATATAAATATGTATTAACATTAAAAAAAAAATTATTTAAATGCCATCATTTAGTGCATATGGTGTTGTTTGCGACCAGATGTTGCTTTATAAAAATGTTCTATTTTGTTTACATGATACATACTTGCAGTTTTACACATGTACAATACATTGATGAATTTTGAGAAGAAAAGCTTTTCTGTTGCATTAAACAAGGTCTCTTTACCACGAGTTCTGACACCGTCAGGCATTTGCTACGGATATACTAAGGTATATTACATAACAAGTTGATATATAGGTTTTCAATAGGTTTGAAGTCGGCCACATAGGAAGACAACTTCGTAACATATGTATAAGGTGGCGACAAGAACTGGTGTTGACGAACATTAAGCACTTACGCTATTTGTCAAAATAAGAGTAGCATGAGTATCAGGTGTTTTCAGGTTACACGTACGTATAAACATTATTAATATATATTCCCCACATTGCAGTATTTTAAGCCAAAAATCGTTATATATTATATTATATTCATTTCCATTTTTAACTGTCGTTCTTCAGCGCGTTAACGTTTTAAACCCACATTGCCTACTTTTAGGCAACTTTTATGTAAACAAGAGATTTAGTAGCGATGTAAGTAATTTCACCACTTTTCATTAACATTCTCTGCTCTGGATGCTCTGCTGGGAAGAAAGCATTCATTGTTTATTCCAGAAACCCAAATGAATCTTTCATAAAAAGTATTAGGAATTATAGTATTAAACACAATGACGTTAACTTGCTTTTAAATTTTATTACAAAAATTAACGTAGAATATTAAATTATTTTAATAATTAACTTCATTGGATTAAAATAGTCTTTAACAAGGGTTTACTTTTATAAAAAAAGTTTACTAATAATTTACAATAATTAATTATACTAATAATTTACAGTCATCTAATAAAAAATGATCATTATTAATGTGTGGTGAATATGGATAAGTAGGTGAATTAATATTAATTGCGTTTGTTGAAATACAAGTTTGATAATAGCCATTGAAGCAATGTAAGAGTTGCTTTCTTTAATTATGATTTTCCGCTAACTTTACGTTTGTGTGTAATTGTTAGTAGATTACGATTGTGTATACTCTTTTGCGGTCTTTAGCACTCTCAAATTTTAATTAGCGCTCATACAAGTCGTACAGTTACAAAGCAGCGACGTTGAAAACGAAACTAACATTTCTAAAAACCATGCACGCATGCGCTAAAACAGCTCTAGCTTCAACATTGATACGCTGCAACAGCAACCTTCACTGTAAGCATGTGTAGCTTCAACAGCAATAGTGGCAACAACTACTGCTGCAACTTGTTGCTTCTAAATTTCTTCGGCAACTCTCAACTGGTAGTTGGTTTAATCGCTCCTACAGCGTTGGAATGTGGGTCAGACTATATAAACCCAAGTTCAAGGCGATCGCTGTTTCAGACGAAAGAAATCGCTTACAGCGACAGCACGAAAATACAATTACCGTAGAAAGCACTAAAAGCACGAAACCAAACTGTGGTTTGTGAAAAGTTAGCAAACTGGAACAAGAATACTTTTCTTATAGTCAAAGAAAATCGTACTGTGTATGCAGGTGTCGGCAATTTCCTAACAAATCACAAAATTAACAATAGTGCGGTGAAAATATAAATTACAAAAGTTAACGTAGAGTGTTGCAGTTGAATAAAAAAAAATCTAAATAGCAAATATTGTAGTGATTGAGGCAGCAGGAATTGAGTCCGCGGTTACGAGAAATAGTTAACTACACAGTTCTGTAGAATACAAGCGAATTGCGAAGCAGAAAATCAGCAACTGGTATCAGGTGAGTTTTTATGATAGCGATCTGCGAAAGGCTTGAGTAAATTTGTATGTTAGCGCGTAGGCTTGCCTTTTGAGGACATATAATTAAATATATAAAATTAAAATATATTATAAATATATACGTAAAACCAGTAAATATCGAACGTGAATACTTTTTAAGTGCATAGTACATTTCAGCTATTAGTTCAGGATCATTTTTAAAGAGCTGTGGTACATATCATTTTAATCAGATATAATATTTTTACAAAGAACACAGCAATATGAATTCGCGCTAAATAATTATTATTAACGGAAACAATAAAAAAGATTTTAATCGATAACGCCTTTATTTTCTTAGTATAGGAGTTTTTAATTTTCTAAAATGTTTCGATGCATATTAACATGCAAAAATGTGCTAAATTATTTGGGTTGAAATATCAAAAAAAAAAAAATAGTAAGCGAAAAAGGCACTGCAATATAATATTTTAAGTAAAAATTAGAAAGTTTTTTTACTTGCTAAACATAATAAAGCTGACAAATTTCAGTTGAGCAAACCATAAGGTATATTAACCAATGAATGAAACTGTATGAGTGAAAGAAGATATGCAAATTTCTTATTCGTTCGAAATAGGATGGCGAACGGCGGCCTTAACTTCATACATGTGAATGTACAATACTTTCTAGCGAATTAGGACTAATTTACACCAAAATATTGTATGCTCACGTTTTTGTGCATGTTCGAGTTCACACACTCGAATATATGTACTTTGCGAAGTAGGTCAAAACGCCAGTCATAACAGAACCTGAAGAATAAAATCGTTAATATACAAAAAGATAAAGATAAAAGATAATGTTTGCTGTTGCTAACAACAATTGTAAAAAAATATATATACGAACAAGTTAGCTGTTTGTTATGGGAAACCGCAACGAAGAAGTTGTCTAAAATATAACAACCGTAATATAATTAAATTTATATGTACGGCTGTGCTATAGTCTATATTATGCACTGCAGCACCTCAGTTTCTTATAATTTTTATTATAAATTTACAAAATAAAAAGCATTTAAATGATTTTATCTGAATAGATACAACGGCATATGTGTTTATATTTGTGTGCAATAACGTGCAATTATCGCAGTCAAGTTCAAAGATAAACCAATATAGTTTTGTTTTGCTTATGAAATGCTAAGACTTTATTGTAATAATTATTACATATTTTATATATCGAAGCAGTTGACCCAGGCGAATTCAGGTGCACAAACGTTTACATGTGTAGTCTTGCATACATACATACATATGTATATGTATATGTAAATATGTATATGCACATACCGTTTTTATATTGTTGTAGTTTTTGTGTTTCCATTTGTTGATTGGCTGGCATTCGGCTTTTGCTTGAGTGGAGAAAGTTTTACTGTTGACTTGACACACTCTGCTTTTTTGTTATGCTTAAAAGCGCAGTATCAGTAGGTATACATACTGTAGATTCATACATTCCAACCTTGCATTTATATCGAATTTTTTTTTGGTTTTATTTTACCTCTACAACATATAGAAAAACAGATCAACCATAAACGTATACTTAAATGGTTATAGAAAATGTAGCACAGTTTCTAAATGCTTATGTATGTAGATACATATTCATATGTGAAAATAATTACTGAAGAAAATTAGCAACTATTTTATACAGTTACTTTGGCGCCATTACTTTACATGTATTTCACAGAGAAACATACAAGTACATACATACAAATATATGTAGTTATTACACTGTACCGTTACGGTTTGTGAAAAAAATATTCTAATGTATTAAACAAAAATTAAAATTAGTTTAAGGCTAGTTGTCTATGGTTGTTACCTGCATAAACCGCATTGCATCACTCAAAGCCAAAATAAATTATTTAGTTTTCGTAATTACGTCGCATTTATTTTTAAAACCTATCAAAGTGCATAGTTGTACACAATTTGACTAAAACGTGAGACGCAAATGAAATGCAGTCCACACATTAATTATTATATAAAATAGATGGTACGTTATGAACGCTTAACGCATATAACATAACACCGCTTTGTGTATTGTTGGTGACAAAAACAAAACAAAACAAAATTGTTTTACATTTTCTTTTAAGGAAATATATTTACGTTATATCAAATTAAAATTATTTATGTACATCATAATGCCGTTTTAAAAATATCAAAATAATTGAACCCAAATCTAATAAAAATTCAACGCAAGTCTTAAAAAGTTAACACAGTTCCATTTTTGATTCGGATCAATATTAATATGTTTGTGATCCTTCGGGGGGGGGGAGGAGTCTAGTCTTTCTTACTCCTACTTATGAGTATATGCAAATGAAATAACCAACAACTTACTATTGCCTGAATCCACCAACAACCACTGCATATAAGCCAATGATTTCTCTTTTTTATATGTTAGCCCGGCGAGTAATTGAAAAAGCGACGAAAGTGATGCACAACATTTGCGGTCAATAAACTTTTACTTTTTTCTCCGCCTTTTCTACTTACACTTTTCTCCCTTTATCTGTTCATATTGCGGCTTCCAATATTTTTTCTCTGATTTTATGTATCGACTTGATGAAAGTGAAAAAGCAAACGTGTCTTCTATTTTCATCTTCGCCTGATCTTCACAAAAAAATTAATGCTACAAATGTAAGTGTGTACTACAACTTAATTAAATTAACAATTAACTTGAAAATCTTGGAAATCAAAAAAATTTATTTATCGCGACAATTTCACTTTCTCTGCCGGGGCTCCACTTATTAGCATTAATTATTAATTATATCGGATACAAATGATTCAAAATTGCAAACCAAAAGAACACATTCAGACATATTTCATGTGGATACATATCATATATACTTATGTGTCCATTATGTTTTTCACGGTTTTGAGGTTGATTATTTACACATTACTGAATACAATGGTAATATAGAATACATATGTATATGTACGTACATCGTAGAAAGTATAGATTAATCAACTTCGTTATTTATTGATTGACACTGGCAATAAAAAATTCAACTTTCATAATTCACAAATTCTTCTTAATTTGCTTATGGTGTACGACGAACGTGCTGACGCGTTTCTCATGTCAACTTATGCTTGCATGGCGAACAGCCGCGGTAGTCTAAAACATGCGATTTGTGTCACTAGAAACGGCTCGTTTCAATTATCGTAGTGCTAACAGGAGAATAGAACCAGAAAATCAAGCGGAAGCAGCAATAACAACAACAAGGTGTACAAGTACCGCTATGCGAAGACAATAGTAATGCTAGTTGCATTTCTCTTTTCAACCTGCAAGACTTACTTGGCAGCCGAAGCTTCGCTACAAGTGTATGTTATGCACATACAAATGAACTTTAGTGGAAATGCATACCTGAGTATACATATTTACTGAGCTAGTTATGTGAAATAAACTGGCAGGCAGGGAGAGTATGTTGGGTATATTCAGTGGTCCGCATAAATTGAAAACATCTGTTGAGAAAAGCGGTAAACACAGTTAATTGTTAATGAACGAACGTGAGATATCATCGTGCCTCAAACAAGAATCAGCACTTCAGCGTACATACGTATTCGAAGAGATTGGTTTGTGCCGTTATTTGATCTTTCTTTAAGTTAATTATCTCGCATTTCATGAGTAGAGTATGCTCTTCTATTAAGTAGTGTTGTTTTCTCGTTGGATAGAATGATTGCTTCATTAAAGATAATACTTGTAGTCAAATTGAAGTGAGCTCGTCTGAAGATTGCAAATTTGCCTTTTCTTTTAGCACATAATCTCGTAATAATTAGAATATTTTCATTATGTTCAATTCATTTTTGCTTTGCGCCAACGATTTCAGTAAATGTAAGTTGAAAAAGTCGCATTGCATGACAGTTACAGCACACCTGTTGCATATCAATGGGCGCGTAATAAGCATATCAAAAACTGTAAAAATATTGTTAACGCATAAATACAAGTATACATACATATGTATTGCCCAGCATCCGAAAATGCATATAAGAATATCATGTAGACATAGAATATTCTCCTCATCATGCACATTGTAGCTACTTGTTGACATTTTGAGATTAAACAATAGACTTTTGTGACATACTTTCCGTATTTTTCTTTCTTTACACAAAATGGGCGTTAATATAGACCGTTTTCTTTTCAACTGCATTTGCTGTGTTTTTTTATTGTAATCCATTTTATTTTTCTCCCTACAGCATGCTTAACCAACGCAAGCTTTACTCTTACTTGCTACTTTTGATAGTTTCTACCAACTGCCTGCTCCTCTCTTATGCTTATCCACAAAATGAAGTTTACCAACGTCAACGTCTGCAGAAAGTGCACCAGTCACCTGTTTATCAACCAACAGCGGAATCAACGGGCCGCAAATATGCGGTGAAACCTAATGCTTCGAAAAAAGTGGCTTTAGATGATGTAGAAGATGACGGCGATGTGGTGAACCAATTAAGCGAGACTCCTACCGGATTTTCGTGGTCCAATATGTTGTCGACTGTTTTAACGATGTTCTTCAATGGAGCAGCGAACGTGCCCTCCAAATCTGACGATATCGATAATTCTGTCGGTTTTGGAGGCTCACCATGGGCCAATGTAATATCGATGGGTGAGTGCAAAAAAAAAGAGGCAAAAATTGCTTATTTAATACTTACATTCAATTCTTAACCTTAAGGTCTAAAAATCATTAACACACTGTTGGGTGGCGGTGCTCCAAGCGACGGCATTGATAAGGTTGATAACGGCGGCTCACCAATGCAGGTAAGAAGCAATTTTTGAAATCATATCACATTTTGCATAGTAGAAACTTGAAGTGCACTTTATACAATCCCCTAGCATATTATTATTTAGTGTAAATAATTTCTTAGATAAAACTAAAAAGTACTGCTTTTACATGCTTACCACTCAACAATGTAATATATAATATAAGAATATAGTTTAACAGGGGCAATGGTTAGTTTATGTTTTTAAGTGGAAATTGTGCATACATTTTTTTTAATTTCCGCAAAGATTTTGAGGTGTATGTTTAATTTTACCAAACGATTTATTTACTATGTATATAGAATATCTTTTGTGGATATTTAGTGCAGCATGAAACTTCAAGATTTTAACAGAAATTTTAAAATACATATGTACTATATAACTGTACATACAAACACACCAATAGTTCTATATTTGAAATAGACGCAAACATAAACAAAACCAAGTAAGAAAGTGCTAATTTCGGTTATAACCGAACCTTTTATACTCTCGCAACTTGCTAGGTTCAAAGCCTTGAAATACCATCGAGTGTCTTCGAAACTATTCAACATGCAGTGTACGCGAAAATAGTGAATGTATACCAATGAAATTTGATCCTTATTAACTTAGATTATGGGTCATAGACTAAATTTGTTTTATATACGTAAATATATTTTACTTCCCGGCAGCGAAAATTATATTAAAAATATTCTCAAATAAGACATATCAGACATAAACACAAACGATAAGGCTAAATTTAATATGTTATAATGACGTGATGCGCCAAACGTCAACCAAAGGAACAGAATTTGTTACATTAGGGATGTGAGGTTTAAAACACGATCTAAACCAATTCAAATTATGTTTAGCGCTAAACCACATAATTTTTAAGAAAGCTTGTCCCTTTAATTTCACTAAAATATCACACATTTTGACAAACCTGAACTGTTTAAAGTCAGTTGGGAAGTCAAAAATCACTATATAGGGTACAGTTTGCTGATTGCACAAACTTTTGACATTACTAAAGTACACTCGAGAACATACTTTCAATCAATTTTATAAATATGCATAACACATACACTGACCGACATATTCGTCATAAAATTTGTTGGAATAATTCATGGACCATATCACATATTTTCGGCATTAAACTATAGTATATACAATATTATAGTTTGAGTTAATTTTGCTAAGATATCTTACATATTGACCGATATAAAGCCAAAGTTTGAAAATCTTATATTAGGTATATGGGAGATGGGGTTGTATTGATCTGATTTTAACTATTTTTGGCATTATTGCATATAATTAACAGAAAAGTATGCTATCTGAGTATTTCGAGGCTTCAATACTTTTGGACCATTTTAAGTCATAAGCTGGCAAACCTCAGGGGCACTATTCGTGCAAAGTTTTATCCGGACACATTGATTGGTTCTTGATTTGTATACTAGGAAGTGACAGAATCAGATGTAGTTTACAATTTTTTTTTACTTTAATGTAGAAATTTCAGAACAATAATACGAGTACGTATCAAATTTGATTGAGATATAGGGTTTCGCCTAAATGAACCGTAAGGTGAACAAAACTATTATACTTTTTAGCAACATGCTGCAAGTGTATAAAAAAACATGTTGCAAATGAATTCAAGATACCAAGGAACATTTGTACCAAGTTTCAACTAGATATCTTAAGTTATCGCTTGCACGCACTGACAAACAGTGCCAGAATTCAACTCGTTCGTTATCCTGATCATTGATATATAAATAACTATAACTGTGTTCAGTTTAGATATTTTGTAGCAACATGTTGCGAGAGTATTATAACTAGTGCCATTTCGCTACAGAAAAACTACAAAATCGAAATAATTGCATATGTACATGTACATGTACGTACTTTACTCTGCTTTCAATAAATTCTCTATTTCCACTGCCTAGAATCTGTTTTCATAAATATTTCTAATCCAAAATCCTATTCTTTTTGTTTTACCATTATTTTTGTTGTTCTTGTATAATACAAATCGATACATAAAATATTGAAAAATATGTCAAACTGAATGGTGTATGGAATTATTGGTTTTGTGTGGTTTCTCGCTTGCAACAGAACATCTTAGCTGCTGTGCTGTCATCAGTGCTTGGTACCAAAGATCCCGATCAAGTGAATTCGATGGCGAAACAAGCTGGAGAGGTAAAAGAACATTTTGATGAATTCGTAATTTATAAATTAAAAATAAACAAACTATTAAAAATATAATTAATGGAAAAATAGTACGTAAACAAACGTAATGCTTTTACCTACAGAAGATAGTGAAATGTTTACAATATACACTTTACAACAATAACAATATAAACATTACACCGAACACATGTTAGTACTCACATGCAAAAAACCAACTAAAAATACATAACTTCTCCATTATAATCTACCTAAGTACCTTAGTTACCTATGCACACTTTGGCGAGCTTACACATCTATATAGCACACGCACACATTTATAAATATTTATAAAACTTCATTTATACCTATGTTCTTGAGTAGTTTAATAATAAAAACAAAAAAACTCTGTCTTTTCTTTATTCTCTGTTTATATAATTGCTTCTCTGTCTACCTTTGCACTACGGCTCACGCAGTTCATTCAAATCGTGATGAATCTGCTAGATGCACTGAAGACATCATTCTCTCATCGGTCGTTGTCCGCTCGCTCGATGGGCAAACGGGACTCGGTAAGTGATGCCACAGTCGCCGGTCTCTCACTTTTGAAAAGTTATGTGCGTACTTACCGCAATGCGGACGACAAATGTATGCAACGCTATATGTGTGAAGCAAACTCAGAATGTGTTCGCGAAATTGGAGGCGCCAGCATCTTCTGCCAACTGGGATCGTAAGTATTGCTGCGATTGGCAAACGTTGGAAGTAATCAACGAAGTAATTTAATTTTCAGTTATGCTACTAGCTACTTCCTGGATCGCACCAGCGATGGTAAATTCGAACATTTATACGATGCGGGACGCAGAGGACGCTCCGGCTATGATTGTCATCAACTGTTTCTTGAGTGTAATGAAGTTTAGAACCTGGAATATGTGAATGTGCTGCAAAACGCCGTGATTGTGAAAGAAAATACATATATTCTAATATAAACCATGCAAGCTATTTTACTTGTCGCATACAAGCATCACGATCGATTATTAATTAAGTTTAGGTTAAAATACATGTAATTTATTTATTTATTTATGTGCGAAAAGTAACAAAGCATAAAAACAAAGCATGTTCTAATTTAGGCTAGAAAATCTTACACAAAACTAAAATATAAACCGTTGGAATTACTGAACGTTACAGTCTAAGCTTTGTATTAATAACATGGCCTAAAGATTTTTCTATACAGTTTTCTCTATAGCAATGGCGCCTTACAAACTTCTTCTGGTCTTCTCTTCTGTTCTACAAGTATATACAGGTATTTCGAGTATACTTGTATGTTTTGAGAGTGCGGTGGGTATATAATATGGTGAGGTATAAATTGTTTCAGATACAACCCTAGTAAGTAAATGCTTCCCACAAAAGAGATCAAACAATTGAGAGACCATTTATTTAACTAACAATAATTTTGCTATAATTTCGGAACGCAGAGCGGATTATGTTGAGCTAAATACATTTTTTTACAATATATTACGTTTCAAGAACAGAGGGGTAGGGATTTGAAAATACTGCAAGATATGACAACCTTCACAAGTGCCTTTTTTATAGCAACTACATATAGAATCAAATCTGAAACTTTTACCGACCAATATTTTGCAGACGGAAAACGTTTTGCTAGTTCTATCTAGCTACGTTGTTTGATTTAAAGAACCGAAGCTTAGTTAAAAAAAAAAAAAACATATGGGCTATAGTGGTTCAATCTGAATAAATTGTTCGAAGAGCGTTACCTTGGAAAATAATCTACGCCGAATTTCGTAAAGATATTTTTTCAAATAGAAAAGTTGTCTATACAAGAGCTTGGTTTTGATCGGTCAGTTTGTATGACAGCAATGTATATGCTATAGTGATCCGATATCGGCTATTTCGAGAAAAAGACGTGTTCAAAAATTGATAAAAAGATATCTCAAAAACTAAGACAGAAGGACAGACAGACAGATGGACATGGCTAAATATATACTTTATACGGTCTCCGACGTTGCCTTCTGTCTGTTCTGCTGTGGGTATAATGTTGTTGGGAACACATGACAATTCATTAAAATTAACTAATATTGCTGATAGCTGGTTATAAAAAAAACTTCAGGGAAAATTAGGATGTTGTGCCGTATTCTAATAAAGCAGGCTACTTTCGTAGAGGTCTAGCCAAATTTCCAATAAGGAATGATGGTTCCAAAGATGTGAATGTATGGTATACAACTGTGTAGTACGATCTGTGCAACTAACTACTAACCGTCCCCACTACAGTCTGTTCTATATAACCGGAATGGACGCGGATCAATCAGCCCGTCAAGGACTGTTAACTCGGCAGAATTCTGTCGTTACAACAACAACAACCTGTGCAGCTATTGTAACATTTACATAATACACACATTCCAGTCTAAAATTGTTAGAGCGATAACGGGTTCATCATGGTACATTCGAAATAAAAACATACACAAAGATCTTGCTATTCCTATGGTAAAGAAGTAAGTAGAGGACAGCAGAGGGTAATACGAGCTTAAACTCCCAGCAGCTTAAGGCAACAGCCTTAAAATGAGCAACGTATTAGTAAAAAGGCCCAACCACAACCTTCACCTTGTTTAGTTTTAAAAAGGTTTAAGATTTTTTTACATATTGTTACGCTATAAACAATAGCAGATTAAATACATAAAGTAATAAAAAAAAAACATGTTCTTTAGTAATATATGATGAAGAAAACATTATATAATATTTAGACCAACTGCTGATTTGCAAAGCGCTGTACCTGGACTAGTCATAAGATTGTGGTGTGTCTCCCTTTATGGACAGACAGATGAACATCGTTCACATCATTTCAATTGTTTTAATATATTGTTAACGCAAGGTTGTACAGCTAATATAAAATATGTACCACATATCAAAAAAAATTACAAAACAACTAATTTTAAAAAAGATTTTAAACTTGTATTGACTGTAATACCGTAACGACGCCACAGTCGTCGTATTTATTATATTTAACAGGGTTAATTCGCCAGGCGCATTTACCAGCTGTTTGCTCTAACGAAACGGATCGTATTCATAAAGGAATATCTACTCTGAACAGAATAGTTTTGTTTTGACTGATCAATTTCTTTTTCACTGTGTGTAAAAAAAAATGAATGCTAATATTTAAGACCTAAATTTAACTTGATTTCTCCACACTGAAGCTTAAGATCTCAACAAGATGTCGCCATCTCACACGATATAAGGTCGGTCGACTGCGATTTCTAGCTTCTTGAAATACCGATCAAACGGCATTCTCATAATGCTGTCTTGTAGGCCCCATGCAGCATGCTGAATATTTAAATCTATAATTTAGGGAATAATAAGAATCTAAACAATTCAATCAAATGGAAATGGAATTGCCAATTAACATGCATATGTTTATTTCCTTGGGTTAATAAGGATTAATAAACGTTGACGAATATTAGAACTATTTGAAACGGACATGCGCACTAAAGAAGTGTTTGTCAAGATGAAATACCCTGAATGAGGAACGAAACGCAGTGAAATATAAGAAATTAAGATATCTGTCAAATGGAGCAAAATGGCGTCACAGCATCTCTACATCGCTAATAGCAACTGCATTTAATCGGCATTAGCGAAAATGCTCTTACACTGCGTTGAAGACATCTGATGCGGTTTTAATAGTGACTCTTTAACCTAGCATAGCAAACAATAAAACTGTGAATTAAGTTTTAAAAATGACAACTCTATACCGATATTGACAGTTGTTGAGATGAGATTAAAGCAAGATGAGGCAGAAAAACTGCAAAAGGTGTTCAAAAATTGTGATTTTTATTCTCTTAGTACTCTTTAAATGTGTTTTCTTGCTATTAGCGTACATACAAATCGCCCAAACATATGTTGCCAACAAAAAGCTATTTATTACCTTTATTACCCTCTCATAACGTGCACAGCAGCCCACCAGTGGTGCTAATGTGTATATTGGAAATACAAGCATTCAAATATAAAGAAATGGTGACAATTTGCTTGTTAGCATTTTTGGAGTCCTATAAGAGCACATTAAAGTAACTGCTAATTTGAAACAAAAATAAAAAAAAAGTTGTTAACTTGACAAACTTTGCAAAACATTCTTTATAAAAAATATTAGAGGTACGCCTGTGAACTGTGAAAGCTCTCTTTAAATTTTTGAGGTCTGATAAATTATGAATACGACCAGCAACATGTAGTTTTTTGCACACTCAGTGACACATTTCGCGTAAGTAAAATTTTAGAAAACCAGATATTTTCACATTCAAGTAATGGAACGTCCGTTACGCGCTATACGAATAGATAGATTTGTAAACGTCGGAATTAATAATTCTTATATCGAGCCGAAAATACGATTTCGTAAAAGCTTTGTTATTTTGCTACGTTAACTACTTTATCAAGTTTAAAATATTGTAGTCTAAACTAACTGTCTCATGTTCGAAATAATACCGCAATATTCGTAGACAGCTCGATATTTTAAATTACAATATAGTAAATTACCAACAATACTGAATACAAAATAAGGACTGGTATAATAAAAAATACAGCAAATATTAGGAACAGTCAGGATTTAACTTTATACATATATTTATTTTTATTTACCATAGCCGTTAATAAACATCACAAATTCACAGCGCGAATATATGCCAAGGGGAACACAAAGGGGGACTGGCAATTGTGGTCTACAAGTTTACAAAAATCTCAAATCTAACCATGGAAAAAATACAGAGACCAAGAAATATGAAGGACAACAACTTACCTTGCACCAGCAAGAATTTCAGTTACTACATTGGGTCCACTGCCATCGAAAACACGGACAATATACAAGCGGTCAATGACTTCAATAGTAACTGCAATTTCACTAACCATCATCAGATTAACAAGAATATGAATTCATGCAAAATAGTTTTTGTAACATGGAAATATTTATTAGCATTCATTTTGTTTTCCGCACTATTGGAATCGAGTAAGTAAATAGATTTATAAGATGTTTACATATTTTTAGCTAATTGTTTGCCAGCAACTATTAAAGGTTTTTTATTGCTTGATACATGCATACAGTTTATTTATAGTTTCATATAAAAACGTTTGCTTTTATTTTATTTTTATTGGTCCACAAGTTGGATTCAATATATTAACACTTTTACATACCTAGACAGTTTTTACTTTACCAAATATTCCGCAAGCAATGAAAGCTTCAAAGCAGAACTTGGTAATGTGCATATAAAGATAAAAAGAGAAAAAGAGTCATAAATTCGATAATTTGGCTTCTGATGTTTTTTCATAGATTTTTCCTTAATATCTATAATATAAGACCTGAACAATTTTATTATAAGTCTGGCAACAGATAATGGTGTGAAGCTATTACATATATTAAATAGTAGTAGTACATATATTAAATGATACACTTTCTGAGTAGCGCTATTCAAAAGCAACTGTAAATCATTAGTTTTTGAAAATATATTGAATTTAATTACAATATTTAAATCTTTCGTGTATTCATTGGTCTCTCAGATTCAACGATGGCTAAATCACAGGATGCAGCGAAACCTTTAACAGAAACTAAAATATCAGTGGTAGATTCATTGTCCACAACTGCGAAAACTGCTTTTCCACAAAATACAACAACAACTCAGTCAATATTAACTGCGGCAATAACTAAAGATTTAGCAAAAACTGTTTATGAACTACCATCTGTAGCCAAGCAATCAACTCCAATTTCATTGCCATCAACTGTAGCAACAAAACAGCCTTCATCAGCATCTGACGTCCTTTTGAAAGGTTTTTCGTTACCTACATTTATACCACCACTATCGCCATTTGCTATAGACGAATTCACAGCGTATTCATCGGCAACACCTTCTTTAAAAGCACTAACATCAAGCATGACTTCGGAAACCCCAGACGACCAACTTTATATCGCCGCCTACCAACAAAACAGACGTCGCCCAAACTTTTCTGTGACAACAAAAAACATTACCGTTCAATTGGGAAATCACGCCTATTTGCCATGCAACGTAAGTGGTTAACAGTTATGAAACACTTGCTGCCCATTATTTTCAGAATTTTCGGTGTTTTCAACGATAATGAATCAACAAAACTCCATGACAATGGGGGTAATCTGTAAGTGGGACATAGGCTAAGCCTAAAAAAAAATTTTTTTTAATAGTCATTTCAATATGAACAAATAGATAAGTAAATATAGATAGTAAATATTAGTAGCTAATATACCGCAAACAAAATGACACTCCATGCGCGCTTTGCGCAAAACCCCAAAGAATCACTAGAAGGATTTTGAGTAAAGTAAAAGTAAAAAGGTTGCGAAAAAACAAAATATATAATATATTCGTCATGGTATTAAATACGACGCAAAATGGCCTTAACCTATGTTTTTGCATAATAACATGGGGTACTTAGAGTGATAATTTTAATAAGTTCTCTTTAAAAATACGTGGAAAAGTTACATTAATTTTCATTCATCAACAGATTCCGCGCATTTTGAATAAACCAATTTCATGGTTACGCCTTCGCGATGGACATATTCTCTCCGTCGACCAAGCAACTTTCATTTCTGACCAGCGCTTTCAATCTATTTTTCAAGGCCAGAGCGATAGCACTTGGTCGCTGCAAATCAAATACGTACAGGAAAGCGATGAAGGCTGGTATGAATGCCAAGTGCCCACCGAACCGAAAATGAGCGCTAAAATCTATTTAGGAGTGGTGGGTAAGTAAACCTTCTTCATGGTATTTGATGGTGGAGTATCAGAATTAAACTAAGTATCAGATACAATATATTTGTGTGTTATTCACTTTTATCGGTTTTTCATCCAGCCAACATATAAGCGGCTAAGTTCCATTTATTTAGTTAATTCAAAAGTATAACACTACTTAATAAAATTTTAACTTTTTTTGTCACATGAAGATGAGAAAATTATTTCTTAATATAGAAAATAATACTTATGATTTCCTTGAAAGTTTGGCTGCTGGAAGGTCTTCTTAAGTATCCCTCAATAATCTGTTAGCATTCCTGCGCTCTAGTTCCCTTGATAGCGCTTCACCATTTAAGAAATGTACTGATGGAACCTTTTGCCTTGTTCGTCACTCACAGCACTCAAATTTGCCGGAAAGAAATCCAGATGAGAGTGCAACATATGTATTTTTAAGGACATATTACACCCCAAATCTTTATATGACATTGTAAGTTCATTTTTTAAGTCTTTGTAATTTTCCAAGAAAGCTAATTCCAGTCATTTAATCTATGATACGTTATACCGCCAAACTTCAGGCAGATTCAAATCACGTACTAAATCGTTTAAATCACTTTGTGTCAATAAGTGCTGTACTTTTGAAGTTGGCGGTTCATAATTTGGATAACTATCTTCAGCTATTTCATCGTGATTTAGAACAAGTTCCGTAGTAGAATCTTGATTTTCTGATCGATTCAGCACTATATAGGATGGGTCTGTTGACCAAAGACAAGTTTGGATACTGCATAGTCCGTTTGGACTTAGTTGTAATGCCTTTTGTTTGAGTCGAACAAAAATGACAATCGCTTACCTTATCCTTTAGTTTGGTACAAATCATTGCTACAGCAAATGGTATATTTCTGGGTTTTTGTTTAAACCAGTTTTATAGCAGTCTCGCCCACGTTAGACAACATTTATGTGGAACACAGGATTTATCTTGATTTCTCACAGGAAATAGCACTGTTCAGTTAGTGACGTGAATAACGCATAACAAACACTGTCGGAGTCGGTACAACACTTTCGTGACATGATTAGATGTAACAAACGATTATCTCGATTGATTAATGACATTACTCACAAATTATATGAACAAAATTTTTATAATATATTTATTGTATTGTATTAATTAATATACCACTAGTACCGCACACTGAACTTATCGGCGATCGGAATCGTTTCGTGAAGACGGGCAGCAGAGTGGCATTGCATTGCATTGTTCGTGATACGCTTGAACCACCAACATACATTATCTGGTTTCGCGGCAAAACACAAATCACAAATGACAACGAACAGGGTTGGTACACAGAAATCGATCGTACGATATTCGGTAATGCTGACAGCAGTAGTAATACGGTAAGTAGATGATGTTTTCGCTCCGAAAGTACAATGTTTTTATTGACTTATACATCACAGATCGGCTCGTTAATAATACCATGCGTTCGGAAGCAGGATTCGGACACCTACACTTGTGAGCCATCGAATAGTGCTGCCGTAACCGTTGACCTTCACGTGCTTAGTGGTAAGAGTTGAGAACTACATAACTTATGTATTGAAAGCATTGTACATAGCAATATTTAGCGCTCATTTAATTCACAAATACATATGTATGTTCATCAACTTTTTATTAATATCATCGAAGTTTCTCTAATTAATTTATCCCTTGCAGGAGAGTATTCTGCATCGGCAATAATGTCAGCGGCAGGCTCCTATCGGCTTAGTAAATCCATTTTCACGTGCCATTTCTCTTTTCTGCTGCTACTGCAGGCCATGGGAAAAACGTGACTGCATTGTAATTCGCCACACGTTACGAAAGAGCATTTCCTTACCCATCGTTTATTCCCATTACCATGTGAAGCTTTATTTTTTAAAGAATAAAATATGATAATTAAGTTAAGTAAATAAATGTATTTACAACAGCAATCATTAATACCTAAGTATTATAAACATTGTTGACAGTATTAAAGTAAAATTTCAATTCGTGAAAAGCAAGACGGGGAAACAAAGTTGTGAAACTTCAATAAGTAGGTTATTAGCTCAACTAATTAAATTTAAGATATTTAAGCACTAAGTAAGCGTTGAATAACTTGTAGTATTATACATGCAGTCAACAGCTAAAAACTACATCTACAGTCGAAGTCGAAAACAGAAATTGAAATATATTATAAAAAATTCTGGTTGTATTAACTGCTAATAAAAGCCGCAAATTCGTTGAAAATTAAAACTATAATAACTATAATTTAAAATATATTAAATAAATTAAAACATGTACATTATTATAATTATATAATTATGTTTTACTCTTTCTTATTTCTAATAATCTATGCTCAGATATTAAACTTTTATACGAAATAATCTAAAATTTTAACATACAAAAGCCATGCCAAATACTTAAACAGTTATCATTTTATCATACGTATCCTGTCATGCACGTTCGTCACAAGTAAAAGGGAAAAAACAACTTTTAGCAACAATCGTAGGTCATCTCCAAGCTATGTACAGGTTGGTTGAAAACTTTCTGCGCTCGAAATGAAAACATACTATTTTTGGTAAGAAATATATATCTTTTTCAATATAATCTCCCTTAACTTCAATACACTTATTCCAATGATCCTCCAATAATTTTATGCAATCCCTATACGACCCTAATAGCTTCTTCATTCGACGAAAAACGCTTTCCACGAGGAAATTGCTTCAGGTTTCTGAAGAGGTAGTAAACGCTAGGAGCCAAATCTGGACATACGGTGGATGCTCAAGCAATTCGTACTTTAAAACGTTAAATTTTGTCATTGCTACAACAATAAATGGCTGTAATAATATTCAGAGTTGATTGTTTTACCTTTCTGTAGATAATCAATCAACAAAATTCTTTTTGCATCCCAAAATACTGATACCATAGCCTTCTTTGCTGATCGTTGTGACTTCACCTGCTTTGGAGCTGAACAACCAGCTTCAGTTCACTGTAAACGTTCTTTATTTCAATTTAGGGTCATGGTGGTAGATCCAAGTCTCATGCATAACTATAAAACGATGCAAGGAATCGGTCTTATTCTGCTTAAAAAGCTCCAAATGATGCTGAGAAAGTTGTTTTCAATTCAGTTTTTGTTAAATTGTTAACGTATGCGACACTAACAAACCAAACAGCTTTCTCATATGTAATTCTTCATGTAAAATATGAAGTATTCGTTCATCTGAGATGCCTATGACAGTAGCAGTTTCACGCTTAGTCAAACTTGGATCTTCACTAGCACTATTATGAACTTACTCAATCAAGCCTAGTACGACCACGTTTTAATTCACCAGCTCTAAATTCAACGGTGCGATTTGAAGTTGAGGACTTTTTATATACTTCTAACAATTGTTCAAAAATCTCCTTTGTTTTTAAATCTTTCAAAACAAAGAGTCTAATCACTGCGCGAAATTAAATTGTTTCCACGTTAAAAAAATAACCTGACACGTCAACTTCAAATGTCTTGTAAACAAGGAATTATTTGACAGAATGACTAGTAACTTTGCATGTGTTCTTTTCAACCGACCTGTATAATACGGATGATATCAGCCTCCATACGAGTGTCTTTCAATTAAGGGTGAAATAATCGATAGTAAGTAAAATATTTAAAAACAAAAAACAAACACTTGATTTAAGAAGAATTTTATTCGGAAAAGTTTTAGATAATATTATATATATTCAGTTTTTGAGTACATGGTTTTAATCAAAATGTGGTATTGTAATTTAGTTATCATTGTACTATTACTTAATTTTTTACACTATTCTCTATTAAATCAATACGATAAATGTATTTATGATCTGAACCATTGTCATACGTATATCTTAATATAATATATAAATATTAAAAAACTAATTATTATAATCCTAAACAATATTAAGATATATGTTATTGGTTCTAAATAAATATCACTGTACGCAACAATATTCTGATTTACATTTTCAAGTAATAACTAAATCACGAGTTTCAAATATTAATCTATAAGATCAGCGTACACAATTTAACGCTCTAATGAGTACACCAAACATATTGAGTCACAAATAAAAGTTGCCAAATTAGTGATTTGAGCATCACATATAATACTTTTCGAAACCGCCATCTTAATTGTTAATATCCAATTTTCTTCATTCTTTTACAGAAACAATAAGAAAGAGCTAATTTTGGTTATAATCGAATTGGCAAAACCTTATAGTAAATAATAAAAATGTTCCGTGAAAGTTAAACATTCATCATTCGTATACGAATGCCGATATGACGTTTAGACTGCCATCTAGACCAAATTTATGCGTACTCAGCTTTAAATCCAATTTAGTTGAAGGAAACATGACCACTTAATTTCACTAAAATATCATAAATTTTGAACCACCAAATTGTTTAAGGTAAGATGGAATGGGAAACCAATATATCAGCTTTAAAGTTAGCTAGAAAATCGGAAATGATTGCATTAATTGTTGAAATTACTCAAGTATACTCGAGAACATATTTCGACGCAAGTTTATGAATTTAACTCAAACACCGACCGATTTATGCGGCAAAAATTCTGTTAGAATAACGAAATATCGTTATATGAAGTAGGTGGAAGCTGGGGTAATTCGTTGAACAATTACACAAATTTTCGGAAATACACAATAATATATTCCATAACTCACATATTGACCGATATAGACGGTATAAAGTCAACCGTAAGTTCGAAAATCTTTATATTGGGTATATGGGGACTAGGGCACATTAATTTCGGGAATATGTTTCCTCCGTATATCAATAACATATCTTAGAGTTTGACCGATATTTCCGGTGAATAGTGTGCCTTAAGCACTGTTGTGCACATATTCGGTATCAGGCGACTTGAAAAGTTATTGTCCGATTGCTATTAGTTTTAGACGTGAGATCGCACAATATGAACACGAAATTGATCAAATAGTTACTGAAATATAAGAATTCGACCAAAGGTCGGCGGAATTTTGAATTAGTTTGCGACTAATTATAGCACTTTATAAGTTGTCTATTAACTGTACTTTGTGAGTGACAGCGTGGCAGTGGACCGATGTGATACGTCTGCAATACCAACCTCCCTTGGGTGCCAAGGAATACGCGTACCAAGCTTCATCAAGATATCTCAATTTTTACTCAAGTTATAGCTTGCACATACAGTCAGACGTACGCACAGATATTCACCCGGATTTCAAATCGCTACGTCATTCTAATCATTTATATATATCATATGTACTTGTACATATGTATATAGCTCTATATGTGTCTCGATTAGTTTTAGGTCTTACAAACAATCGTTAGGTAAACAAAACTTTTATACTTAGTAGCAACATAAAACGGATGGTACACCAATTTTTTTCTTAACGACGGTAAACGCTTTTTGAAAATGATGAGCCAATTTATACATTATGCAGAGTAAAATCAGAGATTAGAAATATTTAACAAAATATTATTTTTAAGTACTATAGTTGTAAGTGTATAAAGCTTATTCAATCGTTATGAGAAACGAAGTCTTGTTTGAGTTAATTTAAATACATTATAATTTTTTTTTATATTTTACTTTGGATAAAGACAAATTTAAACTGTTAGAAAAACGGTATTTTATAAACTATCGTGCGTTTTAAATTTAAAGTTGGCAACACTGTTACTTTCTTTCTTCTCAATGTCTCCCATGCGTAGAATGAAAAACTAGAGCGAAGTAAACAAAATTAAACATCAACTCGTATTGCAAATTATTGTGAAATATTATCACACCTATCTCAATTAAAAAGAATCGTATAACAGGCAAATTTATATACAAATATACACGATTTCATAAAAGTTGTAACTTCTGCGTCTTTCCATATTCTATATTCTTTATCTAGTAGTAGCTAATGATGTTACGAAACATTTATTTACAATTTCATATTCGTTAAGAATTTGCTCTAGTTTAATTATTAATCGTTGCATTAATCAAAAGCTGCATTTGAGTTAAACGTAAAATATCTATGAGTTCGTTAACACCAATATTAACTTAAGCACCAGTATTTGCACATATACCATCTATAGTTATGATTGGTATATGTTAAGCGATGAGCTATGAGTACCTACTTATTTAATATATATATTTTCGTTGCGACTATATCGTTCGATGTAAGCTCAGAAGTTTATGTGTATGCATGTTCGAGATACATATGCCTATTAAACATTAGAATTTATGCTCAATTAGAACTACAATGTGTGCATTTCCTTTTACACATGTACGGGGTTGTTTACTATACTTTTCTATTTTCATATTATTTGAAATTGTTTGATTTTATTTATATTGTCCAGACTTGAACTTTTTCAGCAACTACACACCAACTAGACCGTTCATAATATGAGGAAACTATATGCAGACTAGCTACATGGTGATTGATTAATGCATCAAGCTCTCCCTCACGAAAAACATGATAATAACGGTGGTGTGTTGTCGAACCACCTTGAGATGGACTCTCAAGCGAACCGGCCGAACTGTTAGAATTGCCCCATGATTCCGTTGATTGTCGATTTTGGAGAGATTTTTCAGTTTCTTTGTTTTCATGTTCGACTTTAATTTCGAAGTAGCCTTCCTTCTCAGCTGCCATTTCCAATCCTAAAGTATCACACCCGGGTGCTCTTTCTATGACTTTAGGGTATATTTGAACCTCATCTTTGGGTTGATACAGCATTTCTTGACCAATCGGATGATGATGTTTTGACAAGAGGCCAAGTTCATTTTCTGCTTCTTCATCAAAGACATCACCTTCGTCTTGCAACAGATAAGCGGTTTCTGGATTCAAATTATATGGGCGATTGCGTTTATAATTAATTTTGGATATTTTACAGTTTTCATAGAGTTGGAGAGAGTAGCTTCGTTCATCACTTTCTTCTTCGTTTTCCTCATGAATGGTAAAGCTACGTGTCTGTGACGATAAAGATGATGTAGAAGAAGTTGGCGATTGTTGTAAGCTTGGCTGCGTAGAAAGGTTTGCAAGCATTAAACGTCGTTCTCGAAGTTCCTCACGGATTGCTGACAAATCTCGCAGCTCATTGCTGCGCTTCCGATTTAAATATTCTGCAGATACATGAGTAGGTGCATCTGAAGGATCAGCAGATTCGCTCGTGATTTCTAAACTTCCGCATTCATCAATATCGTTTTTGTCCTCAAGTTTTCGCATCAACTGTATATTTAGCTGTTCAGCAAACCCAACAAAGTCTGGTTCTTTCCTATGTAGTGAATTCGTACTTAGGTTAATGTTGCCTTTGTTCAGTGGCATAAGACAACTGTCTTCTTCATTTAAAAATATGTTGTGTGGAATATCATTATTGATCTTCAGTTGCTCATCATGTTGTTGTTGTTTTTTTGTCTTAACAGTTCGCTCAAAAAGTAAACCATCGCTGCCATCTTGTTCAAAAGTGGGAGATGATCTTATATTTTCACTTTGCTCTATGCTCATTGTCGTAGAATTAATTTTCCCGGTACTAATAACACTATCAATTGAGTTTGGAGTGGATGCCTCGCTTGAATCGCTGTCTAAATCGTCAGTAGCCGGATTGAAAAGTTCTAAAGACATTAGTTTTGGCATATTTGGAATAGATGAACTAGATGTTGCCGATGACCGTCGTACGATTGGAAAACTTTGACGTATTGATTGTAAGGATTGCTTACGAAACTTAGGTATAGGAGGTAAGTTCTTTACGATATGCCGCGTTATTTTACATTTGATTTCTTCATTTTCCTGCTGATGTTGAGCATTATCCTTTTCATGCTGTTTGATAAGATTCTCATCAAAATCGAATTGATCCTTAATTTTTTCCACATTAATATTGGATAACGCTTTTGAATTTTCATCTAAGTTATTATTTTTATTGTCTAAAGGTGAAGTAAGCATTGCCATAGCTGCCGTCACAGTTGCAACTGTTCTTGGCGGAGATGTTATTACAGCTTGTATAGTAGCAGGGGAGTGCGCCGGTGTTGGGGGACATGCCAAAACCATAGGTGATGTGGGTACGGAGGACAATCTTTGATGGTGCGGCTGTTGCACATGCTTTAGACATGTTAAACAGTTCGAAGTATTGTCATTGTTTTGAATTTTACACGTGTCATTTTTGTGTTGGCAACAACTACCGTAAATGCGACATGCTCCTCCACTGTTGCTGGACGATGAATTACTTGAACTCGAATTTGAGCTTTGATGATAGTTAAGTTGCTGCTGTTGCTGTTCTGGCTTCGGTATGAAAATAACTGAGGCAAAACTATCTTCAGACTCAATACTTGTATCCGATTGTAGGCTGCTGTCCTTAGAGGAATCTGAACCGGACTCTTTAGAATGTCGACGTGACTCCCCATCCCTATTTTCATTACCATCGTTAGTAGTGGAAAAGGTATTACAACCCACATAGTGGTATGTGCTGCAATAACAGCCGGATTTAGAACACTCAGCATTGTTGCAGTATGTGACTGGACCAGCATATTTGTTGATTCCACTACCGACCGACACTTGTTTTTGATAATGTGATGCCTGTGAACCTGTTTCGTGCGTGTTTATGAAGGCACGTGATTGGCGTTGGCAATTTTGCAGGTTTAATGACTGCTGGTGTTGAACATACTGATAATGATGATGATGATGATATTTATTGCATTTTGGAATGTTTGACTGTAACGGTTCGGTACTGTTTTCTTGACTCTCATTGATCACTTTATCCGACAGATCGGAATTAATCGTACCTGGTGTTATATAAGACGAAAAGTTCTGCACTAATTTGTTTAAGCCAGTTTTTGTAACCCGCTCAAAACTACCTGTTGAAGTCTTCACTTTCTTTGTGAAGTTCTCTCTTATTATATGAAATTTTTTTGAAAGCGTACTTGATTGACAGAGAAATGCTTCATTTAATGACGTCTGTTTTTGTATGCGTTTCCGTACACCCTCTTTTTCACGCAATCGGTTAACGGCCATAAGTTCTTCATTCAATGAACTTTGTTTGCGTAAAAAGATACTTGCTTGCATTATTTGGCGGGCGGTAAGGGGAGATTGTTGGTGCAAATTATCAATAATAGGCATTTTTCCCAGAGTTTGAGAGTTAACGTTAATATTATTGCCGTTGAAGTAGCAGCGACTACGTAAATACAAACTATTACTGGCACTATGATTATTATATGTACTTTTTATATGAAAAGAATTTTCTGGCAGTTGATATTCTTCATCACAAAAAGATTGTTTTTGTTTTATCAGCTTTGGGCGACGACCTAGTGGAGTACTGCTATTTATATTTTTTAAAATTGCTGCATTCATAGATTTTGTGGGAGATTCATTGGTTTTGGTGACAATAACTGGTGCTACATTGATATCCTTGGTATGGAAATGTTGACTATTTTGCATTGAATAGGTTGATACAGGTATTCCAGATTTGCAACTCATGTCCAAATGAACGAGAGTACCGCCCAAACTAGGGACACTGGAACGCGAACGCACAATTTGGCGAGGAGGAGGATTAAGAATGCTACCCAGGCTACGTGATTTCAATCCTGCAGAAAGTGGTGGATCGTGAAAATCTTCAAAGTCTTCAAGTCGTCGTAGTTCGATTGGCAAATCTTTTACATCTTCGAAGTCAAGACTACTGTCATTTTTGGTTTCTTTCGATGCCCACGAGTCCAAAAACCAAGGATGCTTGCGACCAGCAGCAAGTTTCTGAAAAGTAACAAAATATGTTTCCATTTAAGTACTCCGACTATGCTATGAATCTTACTTGAATAGCACGTCGCACAAAACTGTAGCAGGATTCACCAGGCGAGGATGAGGATAAACTTGAGCTATCACCATCACCAGCTGAGCGACTTGAGTTTGTTGAGTCCTCTGTGTAAGCATGATAAGGTGGTAGGAAGCTTTCATCATCCTCTTCATCCGAACAGCTCATATTACGTATTTTCGGCAGCTGCCATGGAATGAGAACATCTTGCGACTCAAAACGACGGTGTCTCTGTTCAAGTGCCCATACCGTTATAATGACGCGACCACCAATACGCAATACACGTGCCAGCTCTCGTAGAGCGTTTACGCGACGCTCAGTGGTAGCAAAATGATGAACAACAGCCAACGAAAGAACTGCATCAAATGAATTATCTCTAAATGGTAACTCCAAATTATCGCACATTATAACCTTAAAAAAATTATTAATTTTATATCAAAACTGCTTGACTACACAAAAACAATACCAACCTCTCCTCCTTTTTCACGTGCCACCTTGCTCAATCGATAACAACGATCTACTCCAACTGTACAAATGGAGCGATTTCCATGAGCAAGATAACGACCATTACCGCAGCCAACATCACACACCACGGCACCAGGATCTAAATTATTTAGAAATTGTGCTATTCGTGGTCGAATAGGACCGGATGGTTCATCGCAATTCTCATAAACGTCATGAACGTAGGCACGTTCCAGCGCCGCTGAACGTCCATTGGTATCATCCACTGTCTTCCTTGAAGTAGCTTCATTGCAAGCTTCAATTGTTGAATTGATTGAGACCAAACTGCTTGCAGCCTCTGACTTTGGCAATAAAGTTATAAAATTACTATTACTTGTTTGCAACACTTTCGCTGTATTACAAATATCCGCCTCAATGCCAGTCGTATCGGTTTTACACCGTGGTAATGCATCATTATTAGCTAGTGGGGCTAAAGGGGCTAAAACAATGTTGCTGGCGTTTCGTTCACCATTTGTCGTAGGGGAACTGGTAGCTAGTTGCTTCGTCATCGATTCTCTTTGAAATGTATTTGTGTTTGCCTCCAAAGAATTTGCAAATTCAGTGTGCAAATTTTCATCTGCCAATTTATGATTATATCATTAATAATACTATTTTTTCAAGAGCATAAAATATAATGCTTACCATTTAGATTAGCGCTAATTCCGTTGAAAACATCATTTGCAGCTAACTTCGAGGTGTTCGTGCTTGAAGCAATGGCTAAACAGCTGGTTAACATTGAGATAAATTTAATGTACTTTTATTTAGCTCATTTTGTGTAGCAAGACGCCTAATTGTTTGGCCATAAACACCGATTTGTATGTTCATATACGTATCTATACACACTTTTATTATTTCATAAACAATTAGCGACTGGCAAATCCGCCTTATTTCTGTGCAACTTTACTATAATATTTATCAAAAAGAAGGAACAAATTTCGTACTAGTGAGCATATAAAAAGTTAGTTTCGTTAAGTTCATATAAACAACAACAGCAGACATGCGCTTTTAACAGTTGGCGCTCACTCAATTAGTTGACAACAGTTGGAAGCCTCTTTCCAAAGGTACTTTTTTGAATTTTTATGAATGAAAGCTTTGTTCATAAACACTTGTATAAATGGTAAATGCAACATAATTGGGGTCGTTGTGCTAATTTCTTTGACCTACAGTTGGTCGATATTTTGGTGTGCATATTTAGATTAACACATGGTAACAATTATCTTGGATTTGCATTGATATTATAAGAATTAAGTAAGAGGTTTGTTAGTCTATAGATATTGGTACATTATTACATTATTACTTCTCCTGTCTTCCTAATAGTTAGTTAATGGCTGTGCGTGTTTGTAATAAATCCATACATATTGTATATAACCCAATTCCATAACTTTCACCCCAGCCAAGTTTGTTGTTTTATTTCTATTTTTAATTCATTACAATTTTGCATATTGCAGTTCTTGCAACTCGTTTGCATATACATATGTTACATATGTACAATTAGTATGTATTATATATAGCGCATTAGAAACACGTTCACTGATTAGTATAATTTTGCTGTTCTAGTTAGATTTCAGACATGTATTTTTAGTTGTGCACTAGCAAATTGTGTCTAGTTTGATGCTTCACTGTGGGTTTTTATTTACGTATGCATGACAACTTAACGAACCGCGAAAAACATACAATGTCAGAGAGTGACTAATACATATAAGGACACGCACAGCACTCGCTGCGGGAGAGGGAGCGAAAATATTTCACGAGCAGAATGGAATAAAGCTTCTGAAAACGCGAATTGAATTTCAATGATTTTTCACAATTTTCTAAAACTAAATTAATATGTCTTATGCAGTTATTAAGACAGATCATGTTACTAATTAAAACATGACGGTAAATTAAATGTTCACTACTTTACAGTTATTTTATATTTATTATGAAACAATTAAACTAAACGCATGCAATTGTCATTAGGTTGCTTTAAGCAACTGAGCTCTCTACATATTTGCAAACTATTTATTTATTATTTCGCCAATTATTACTTTTAAAATATTCAATTCACATTATTTAAACAAATTTGGTTTTTTATTATTGAGTTCTAAATGTATTTTTAATATATACTATATGCATCGAAAATCGTCGACAGATAACTGTTACCTACACGAATTTGTAATTGAATCTGAATTGTTCGGAATAGCGTTCAAAACTGAACTCGACGAAGTTAGTCAAACAACAGTAAGCACAGAAGAGCTGATATGAACAGGAGTTACCAGATAAATTGAAATATAATCTTTCTAAAGCATATGAAGGAAAACTTTCGCTTTTTAATTATGAATTATTCTTCCTTTTGTTCAATAAATAATAATAATTATCAGACTACAATGACAGTAACTGTGTGCTTTAGAGGATTTAGAAATAAATAAGTTTTATCTTTTGAGTGTGTTCTTTCTAACATACATTATATGTTTTTTGACGTATACAACGTTAAGTGCAAAGAAAATGCACAACATTTAATAAACTGGCCTATATTTTAGTATTGTGAGTACCCACATTTTTTGACATTTTGTATTTAAAAAAAGAATTATGTTATCCCCAAATTCAATATTATTCATGACTAAAATTAATTTGGCAACAAATATGAAAATATAGTTTTCTTGAACAAAAACAAAGTTTTGAAAATAAATTTCAACAAATTTTAAAAACTTAAATGCCAAACACATGTTTTTACTTGGCCTCTGGTTCGGCATCTATCCCTCTAGGCAGTGGCGGATTTACTAGCAGTTTTTGATATTTGCCTGGGGCGGTAAATTGTCTCGGGCCGGCCCTGTACTTGCATTTCTTAATAAAAAGTCTAACAACTTTCTACCAAGTCTTAAGGCCAACATGACATTGGGCGTTTTCTAGTTATTTTGATTTATTCGTTTTGAAAAATGTTGATTAACCATATAATGGCATTATATAATATAACCATTATACCATAGTTTAATTACTGACAACACTCGCAACTTAAGCTTATCTTGAGGTTGATATGTAGATATGATAGTACGGACTTCCTTCGGGGCCAACAAACGTGTGTACCAAGTTTCATCAAGTACTCAAAGTATCGCTTACACGGACTGACGGACAGACTGTCAGTCGGTATTCGACTTCTCTCGTCCTCTTGATCACTTATACAAGTATATACATGTATATAAGTTAATCTCTAACTCAGAAAACTTTAGGTATTACAAACAACCGTTAGGTGAACAAAACTATTACACTTTGTAGCAACCTGCTGCAAGAATACAAAAATACGAACGCAAGTATAATTTATTTCATGTTAATATTGTATATAGTACATTTCGAAAATTTCAACTTAATATATGTATAATAAAAAGGACAGTCTTTAAAAGACAATGAATGACTAGATACAAATAAATGGATTCAAACAGTATATTTGGTAAGTTAATATGATTGCATGGAGCTTTTATCTGTCTAAAACCGAGTTATTTTACTGCTCTCTGGTGAACCGGGCAAGGAAGAGCACTCTGAACGTGTAGGGCTGCCCCTCTGTGGTCGAGGTGGTTGCCGTTGTGGATTGATATTGGCATTGGCCTGACGTAAGTTTGCGAAAAATTGTTGTCTGCGTGGTCCACCGCCGCGTAATGGAAGTGTTGGAATTTCACTTGGCGACTGAGCTATATCAACTTGTGAACAACTTCGCATAGCTGGATTGACACACTCGTAAACGCTCTATGAAATAAGTACATTATGTAATTGTTTAGTCACTAATACAACGAAATAATCAATTACCTGTTCTGAAGAGTACTGATTATTTTGCGCAAAAGCTAGTGAAGTAAGCGAAGGCAATGCTTGGGCAATATCCGAACGTTCAATGCCACGTACTATAAGAAATGTCCGCGGTATAAGCACACCTATCAAAATAGCCCAACCTGTGGCTTGTAGGCCTAAAGATATTGCTGCATCTCGCATCTCATCGCCTAAGAGTGACATTCCAATCCAAACGATCCAAATTGCGAAAGTTAGCACAGCGCCAATAACAATGAGAATACCTTCGCGATAATTTCGTTGCGAGCGATATATAAATGGAACCAAGCCTACAATGCCCATAAGTAACATGAAATCGTATCCAATCAAAACCCATAACCAATGGCCATAGTACATATTTTCACATGATATACTCTCCGTTGCGACATGCATAAGGACTAATAATTGAACTGACATACCCAACTGTACGAGTACACTAAACAAACAGATAACAGCCTGAATATAGCCATTAACATGTGACAAAAAACCCCCCTCGGAACCTATCGATGCGAGCATAACAGCCCGACAAAGTAATAGTGAAAAAGTCAAGCAATAGGCGAATGTCATAATAAAAACACGTACAGCGCAAAGCGTGTTTAGTGTGGCGGCATCTTCGAAAGTCACATGGGAATTTTTATGTTCACCGATATACTCCAAAGCGAAAGGTACAAAAGAAGTGAATAACAAAATCATAGAGAGCAGCAATAAGATCGATGTGACGGGATTGCCTTCGAATACGTCACCCAAAGATATGCGCACAACAATAAATACTAATATGGCCAAGGTAATTATTAGGCCAAGAATAGCGGCAGTCATTCCCGTGGCTACCCATGCATCCGGTTTAATTCTCCAAAACATCACCGACTCTCCATCAAATAGAAATGGATATCGCCGATTCTCTCCCGCGCTGTACTGACAGTTGAAAATCTGACCAAATTTAGGTTTTAACTCTATGCTACTGCTATTAGCTTGATTGTAATGATAGAACGTAGTTATGTTAGTAATAAAGTTTTGTGATGCGATCTCTTGAAGTTCGGTGTTGTCTTGACTAGACGTGGTTCTATCATTAGGGTTTTTGTTGTGTTTTTGAAACATTTTAAAGTTCATAAACGAAGTAAATCGTTGCATGTGTAATAACTCCAAAATTTTAGCCGGTTCGTAATATTGACGATATTCCGGTGTTTGCCAATCACCAATAAAATTTAGAAAGTTTAAGCATGACTCAAGTACAAAAATGTTTTGCTCTCGCTTGCAGTTACGCATTAATGAACCCTTAAGCCAACGAACGATTTCCAGCATGGGCCGGGCAAAAGCTAAAACCCTCGACGGTTGAATCAAATTACCCCTCAAAGTCTCCTCCATTGCAGGCGTTGTGGAATTTTCCTCAATTTTATCAGGATCTACACGGCTTTCCATAAGTATATACGACTTATGCGGCAGATCTTAAATTGAATTGTAATACATGTATTCATAAATGTTTAGGTGTGTTTTTTGTTTTTACTACACATACCTGTTAGAAAAGTACGATCTGTGTGATCAGTGGTTATTGCAAAAATAGTGCTATTATCTTCAAAATGCCTCGTCAACTTGTTTCCAAAGAGAATGTAAATGTTACTGTCGCTCTTGAAATGCATAAGACACATATGTTCATGACGCACAGCCTCAATAAACTCATTATATGTGTCTAAATTTTCAGTGACAATTTCCACAGATGCTATACTTCCCGCCCAAGGCATTTGATGTAACAGATGCGCTACTTTTGGCAGTATATACATACGGGATGGAAGTATTGGCCAAATGTTGTACTCTAGATCTTTAATAAATTGCTCGGAATTTTTGTATAAATCATAATCGACAAAGATACCAATGGCATGAGCGATGCACTGCTGTAGATATTGTACCTCTTGCATAAGTAAGTTTTCAGCAACAGATTCATCTTCAATCAATATAGCGCGAACTCCTGTAAAGTTAAATGAATAACGTAAACATTTTATACATATATTTATCTAGCTATATATTGTAGATAAAGGCAATTATTCATTTTACTTTCCAATTTCAAAGTCTGCATCCAAGAGGTTTGCTCTGTTTATTCGGTCGATTACAAAAAGGGTTGAAGCAACATCTGTCGTCAATATGCTGAGCATAGCATCACCTTCAAGGACTTGCACGAAATCTCGTTCGTATTGTATATTCTGGGTTTCAAGCTTGTCGGTTAAGTCAATTTTTACACCATGTATGCAAATCTCAGGTATTACAGTTGCCACTGCGCTTGCCTCTGTAGTAGATGAAACAGTCGTTTGTAAATTACTTGGTGCTATTGTTCTTACTGATGAATCTTTTGAAATAACTCTCGGCGTTGGTTTTGTAATTTTGAGCAAATCAGTAGCACCTTGCGCGGAAACACATACTGAATAAAAAATGTATATATTGGCCAAAGGTAGGGTTAACATTAAAACTGAAAATAAAATGTATAAATTACAACAGACGTTAATTAGCGATAAGCATTTGATGACACTTACCGCTTATTCTGCAAAGCATATCTTTTTATTTCGCCAATTTCAGTTCATTTATTTCACTTCTTTATTCAAATGCCGTCTACTAGTAATATAAGATAGTAGTAAGAAAATACTGAACAAATTAATTTTACTAACAGTAATGTGTAAAATTTTATGTAGGCCACTACTAACTAAATTATACAAATACTTCTGACTGTTTTACATTTTTACTACCATCTTTTCTTTCGCCATATTGTTTTTCTTATGGTAAATCTGACTGAATACTCTTTATGAATTCATACATACATTTTTAGAAACATACATACATACATATGTGCATATATATATAAAGTGTTCTGTAGGTTATTTATTTCCTATTCTATTTTGCAAATTTACTTTTCACTATAATCGCATTAGACTTACAGCAATTGAAGAACAGTACCCACAGGAAATGAACATCGCAACATATCGACCTAATTTCAGCGAAGTACAATTGAAAACTCTGCTCAAAGACCTACTCTTCTTTGTCATACATACTTACATAAATGTAAAACAAGTATACATAGTTAGACTGATTTTTGAAAATATGTTTGCTCAGCTAGTATTTAAAAGCAGTCTTATATTTCCTACGGGGTACATATTTGGTATATTTGTGCTAGTTTTTAAAGTAAATGAAAATTAGTTTTGAATGACATTATTTAAGGTGCATGTGTAAAAATTATACATTATCGATGTTCTTATATAAGTTTGTTTTTTCATATAATACTGTATCTGCCTAGCATAATTCTGTATCTGCCTTTAGCATTTTAACAACATGTAATATTCCCTTTTTGTGGTTCAGAGCAATTGTAAATAGCACCAGTTTTGGGGTATTTCGTTTTGTATCTTGTATCCACAAAAAGTTTATAAGCAATGCGAGTAACTGATGGTAACAGCAATTAAATTTATGTCCCTGTATATATGTTTATCATTTTTATTTTTTTTCATTTTTCCTTAGCTTAAAAATTTAATAACCAATTCTTTCTGTTAACGACATAGCTATTTTACATAATCCTTGTTTGTCACTAATTTTAATATGTTTTAAGGATAAGACACCTATCACCTATTTTTGCACATGATCAATGTCTTTTTTTATACAGTTTTTACTGCAACCAAACCACCGTGTAAAAATAGAATTAGGTGTATACGTGTGAACATACATACATTCGTATACAGTGAAAGTGAGACTTTTTTTGTAATTTTGTCTTATGTATTATTGTGGGATAAGGCTTCTTGTAATTTTTTCTTATTGCAGAATCTCTTATATATTTTGGATTTCCAGAAGTTTTTTCAACTAATTGCTGATTGCAGCAAAACTACAATTTTTCTGAATTCCGCCCAATATAATAGTGAGAAACCATAATTTACTTTTATATACATATGCATGATATTAGCAACGTAAAAATTAAAAAAATTCATAAACATTTTGACAAAGTCGTTTATGACCTACAGTACTTTTTTTTTGCACTCATCAATTTGCATATGGTATTGAATAACCAACCATCAGAACCAACATTTACCGTTTATAGTTCAAATTAGTCCTTTTAACATTATTTAACCACCCGAAATAATTAGTTGTTATAACCAAGAGTAATGTAAATGCTCATTTCCGTAAATTTGTAAAGAGATATTTAAGTATGTATATACATACGTTAAGTGTGCGCACTTAGACCTGTTCAATCATGCACAGAATTGATATTACCTTCTAAGGGTAGATTTCTGATCACTTAACTGCAAGTTTTAAAAATACGTATATTTACAGGTACATATACTTATGTATGTATATATTATACACGCTTCTGACATAACTTATACACGCTCTACATAACTGTCTGGCAGAACTTTTGTTTTTTATTCATATTTGTAATATTTCTGCTTACACCTGCTATATCATTGCTTAGCGAACATATTAAGAGAGCAATATTTTTTTGTTGTAAATGCACATTTAGTAACAAGTTTGCCCGTATGCACATATATTAGTAGTAAAAAACCAAATATGAAATAATGCACCCGCCGAGGAAATGTGAAAATCTCTTTATATTTTTTACAAATCTCGTTTAAAAATGTTTATATACTACTTGTTCATACAAATATCACAGCACATTTGTAGTTATTTGACCAATTTTGAGAATAAATTTTTGTTACTTATAATTAACATTGTAAATAATTTGTATGCCTTATTAAGCCTTGCAGATGCACGTACATATTATAAGTGTAACCAAAATGTGTGTGTATGCGAAACTAAAATGGTTTACGTACAAACCCACTATTTTTCATTCAAATCATTTTTCTTTTATGCATATATGTATTTACATATGTATGTATTTGATTTATTTTAGGCCACACATCTATGCTTCTATTTAAAAATCAATAGGTAATACTTGTCTTAATAAGTTTACTGAATGTTGGTGTTGGTGGCTCACTACAAATATTTAGATTAATGCAAATCAGTAAATTTACTAGATCTATATTTGCATTTGTGAAGAATATTAACATTTATATGTATATAATTTGACCGGTCAATGTAAACACCAGCAATTACCTTCACTATTTTCGCGACAAGCAAACGGTTCCGCTTTTTGGTACCTTTTAACCGGGAGTGGAATTTTAACTGTTGTACGGCTTGTTTTCATTGTTACATTGCCCTGCGTTCACCAGTTAATTTGTAGTATTTGAGTGAGACAGACTTAACGCTTCAACAAATTTAAGCTCAACTAAAAAGAGTGAATATGGCAAACAGCGCATGCTCCCTTATCGTTAAGGTCGGTTTTAATTGTTTTACAAAACCAATAAATACTTGTAGCAATAATAGTTATATGCGCACAGTTAGATTATTGCATAAGCAGTAAGCCTATTGAGACAAAATTTGTCGTTATGATTTTGTGATTATATGTATTACCACCATACATATGGTACATACATATGTCTTCAAAATTACATTTCTGTATTCACCATGTTGAAGTGCAACATAGCAATGTTTGGCATCGCTTTATGTTGTCACGGTGATATCGCTTAGATTGTAAATACATACATATGTACATAGTTACATTGTCTATAGCACAAAAGTGCACTGGCCTCTGTACTATAAAAGTGTTGGCTACTATATGTACGATATTGTGGTAAGGGTGGAATTTCCATGTAAATAATACAATGACTTAGTATAAAAGATTTTAAAAAATGATATGGCTACTTTCAAAGCGAGTATTTCTTTACTTTACACTTTGTAGAAAAATAACAAGAATAAAAATTATTAATAAGTAAGGTTCAACTAATTTTTGTTAATGCTGCAACTAATTTGATCATTACTCTATTTGCCAAAGGTAAGCTGCATTGTTGTCATGCAATGCGTTTGAAGTTTGCTTTCATAGCTTATTGCTTTTTTGCAAGTTTTAGTTTTTAGGTAATGTTTCTGTTTTGCGTTAGTGTTATCTCGTTTGCATTGCAGTATCGAAAAGCTGAAAATACAAAGCAAGGTTATGATCAGCTTGTGCTTAACCTTAACAGATGAGTAGTATAAACGTACGTATGTAGGTATATGTCCTTATGCGATGAACTGATAGATTCAAGGCTTCGGCAAGCAGCATCATAAGCAAAACACACTGCAAAGCCTTAAGAAAATGAAACTGTTGTAATCCATATCATTTTTAATCAACTTAGAAAGCTTCGTGAAAACTGAAATGTATTTATTTTGGTATTTATGCAAAAAGTTAATCTACAATATAAGACATTGTTAACCATTGAATTGTTTTAATATTATTGTATAAAAGATGTTTAAAGAATCGCTATTTTCGTTGATTATAATTAACTATTAAAATATTATAAATACTAAACCGAGCACCAAATTAAGTAAGTAATATTATCCTGATTTGCCAGTGTTACAGTGCGAAAATCGGACTATAACAACGCCTACTTTCCGTATAACACAAATTCCTATTCCATCTGATTATTTCACTGTCGAATATATCAATAAAGCACCAATGAACATATCGGTATGAAACTTTGCACAAATAGTGACCTTAAGGTATGCCAACTCAATTCGAAGTGTGACGTCTTGTCAAAATCGGACCATAACTATTCAAGCCCCCTGATACCGAGTATGTAGATCTCAGTGCCTATAGTTGAATGTGAAATATGTGAGATTTGTTTATACTTTATATAATTATTTCCATTATTCTAACAAACCTTATATCACATATCATTCAGTGTGTGAGTTATTTATTTATAAAATTGCTTGAAAATACCATATGTTGTTGCATATAACTGTGCAATGTCAAAGGTAAATGCAAAAAGCCCAGCTCTTTCACTGCCCCCCATATACTTGTGTAGTGATTTTCGACTTTCCAGCTGACTTGAAACCATTTACTTGTAGGTTGGTCAAAATGTGTGAAATTTTAATGAAATTAAGTGAATAGGTTTTCTTAAAAAGTATGAAATTATATTAATGGTTTAGTGATGAATATGAATGGAGCTAGTCTAAACCTTTAACTAAACCTCATATGCCTAGTATTAGATGTAGTAAAAAAGAAATCCATTATTTTTCCAATAGATGACGTTATTTATGAAAGATGACATTTCGTACTAAAAAGCTTCTCTGACAGTTTTGTGATTGATTGATTCAGTTTTGTTTGATCGTCAAAGATGGACATTAACAAATAGAAAATCGTCCAGGACCTAAACACTGCACAAAAAGCAGTTTTAAACCATTTGACTAAGGCTAGATACGGAAAGTAATAATTAGAGCATTCAATTTTATGCAAAAATAATGGATGTCCTTTTACTACACCTAATAAGTATAATGAATTTCGATCTTTTGGTTGACGTTTTCCACATCAACTCAATATATTAAATTTAGCTTCTTCGGTTGAGTTTATATCAAGTTGGTTTTAATATATTATAATTTGGCTTACGCGAAATAAAATAAAGCAGTAAAACTAAGTGAGTCTATAACTTACCATATAATACGTACATATAACTTAATAAAATACCAAATTTGATTGTAATCCATTCATGATTTCATCGAATAATGAATGTTGAATGCTTTCGCAACTTTTTTTTATATAAAGTTTTGCCAACACCTAAAGTTATTTCTCCGCTTGATCCTAAAAAATTGCGAGAGTAAAAAAGTTTCAGTTACACCTTAATTTAGCCCTTGCTTACTTGTTAACATATAGTTTTATAAATGTGCTTTATATATCTACTTATAAAGACTTACCCAGCGCTATCTGGTGTATACTTTGTATTCTCTACTTCAGTTTATTTTTTACATTTAAAGGAAACGCAAATTGATATTTTCGTCAAAAAAAAAAAAAACTTTTGTCAAAAAGTCTCAGAGAAATAATTTGCCACTAACATTTATCTCCTTCTTTGTTACACACCATATCCTTGTAATAAGTAATCAGGTAAGCTACTAAATCATCTTGGCATCGTACAATTCTATGGTCTTTCCCTAGCTGAACAATTTATTCGAACTCCTTCAATAAAATGGTACGACAACGGCCACGAAAATCTGTCGAAGAACTGTATGCGTCAAAATTTGAAACAAACCCAATTAAATCTCAAGCAAACAATAACATGACAAAGAATGCACGCGAACGCGATCGCGGAGAGTATGGTGGATACATTATCACATCCAATACACCATACAATACCAGCTGTCAAGCAACATCTGGCAACTCGGCAAGCGTTAATGGTAACGGCAATACAATGGGAGTTAGCTGTATGACCACAGGTCGTCGCAAAAGTGCACGTCCGGTAACTAATAGCATTAAACAAGACAAGTATTTTGGTAAGGATGAGAAAGTTCTGAATCTGGATGATGGTAAAAAAGACCATAGTAGCAGTGTCAAAGCTAAGACTGCCCGTACAGAAAAAAACAGTTATGGTCCACCAGCGGCGCTATATAATGCGCCTAATATATACGATAATAAAAACTACACAAGCTTTGCAGATAATACGGCACAAAAAGATCTACGCGTTCAGGAGCATACTAATCACCATCGTCATCATCACGCCAACCATGATGATGATAAGGATGACGATACCGAAGAGTTTTTTGAACTCATACGTCAAACTGTTGAAAACGCTATTGGAGTAAGTTTTGACAAAGTCAAACGCCGCATAAATTTTTTCTCACAATTCGCTTCTTTTTTCATAGAAATCCATCTCTGATTTACTCAACCGTAATTTTCGTGAATTATCAGCAAAAGTTGATCGATTTTCAGCCGAACTTAAGTCCACAAACTCAATGTTAAATAAACTTCAGGCTGATTTGAATAACAGTAAGTTTGTGTCAAAATAATTTCGAAAAAATATGTATTATATTATTAACTCGATAGAGGTTGTGCACTATGGAGAGGAGAATTCACGCCATTTTCGCTACCTCTGCATGAAATCAGAGTATGACAAAATGTTTTACCAACACCATACGATGTTGGCATCTACTTCAAACACCCAGTCAACTGCTGCACCAACTCCACCATCGAATCATGCCGAGAAGCGAGGTAGCGGGTCAAAACAAAGTACATCGGTCAATGAATGTGAAAAGGGGCAAAACTCATGTTCATGCCGTAGCACAATTAAAACGCCACCTTCCGAACCACACAAAACCTCTTCAGAGGAGCGTAGCATGAGTCAAAAATCCTCCGATATGGGTATGCGTGAGGTTTTAGAGCATATTCAACGCTTTTGTACCCAAATTCAAATGAGTGAACTAAAATGTGACGATCAACCGTTGCCCAAAAGTAACAGTTATCGTTTGGAAGACGCTATGAAAATTAGCAAGCCCGTTTTCGAAGAGGATGATGATGATTTTCAAATGAGCTCCGATGGCATGACACCTCGCAGCGACGAACACTTGCACCACAATAAATATGGTGGTACAACGATGCGTAGTTGCAGCACAACGCGTGGCGGAAACGGAGGTGGAGATGCTTAATAAAAGATTATAAGAATGGGTATTTATATGCTGTTCCTTAGTATATAACAATAAGAACAGCGAAGGAAAACGCAAAGCAGAGAAAGAAGGAAATTATAATGAAATCAAACAATTAATATACATAAAATTGTATGTGAATAGTGAACGCTGTGGCATAGGTGATCGTTAAAAATCCCTAAATACTGGAATTTCAAATGTATGTTATTCTTATTCTAAATTGTGCTCGTTCTCGATTATTTATTTCATAAAGAATTTAAAATTTGTATCATACATACATATATATATACACATATATTTATATAAGTATATATATTTCATATTACAATCTTGATACCTCCCGTTCTACTTGGAATAAACTAAAATTGTAGCATTATTTCGACTAAAAAGTTTTGAACTTATATGGTATACTAATAACATAGCCATAATTATCACTGGCTAATTAATCTTACTTGATAAAATGAACCAGCTATTTATTATTAAAGCGGAAAACCAATTACAATTAATAACTGTGATAAGATGAAGTTTCCCAAACTGTTACAAATATTTGAGAGCAGTTTAAAGAATTGTAAATTTGAGCTTAACACTGGGTGTAAGTGACTCCACTGTACTCGAAATATATACCCGCATAATTTTTCATCATATTATCACTATTATATCAATGGAGTGGTATACGTACATACATATACGCATAGTGAATTCAACGCTTATCTCCAGGCTGTAGATAAGTGGTCTTTACAAAGCTGGAACAGCGAAAAGTTTGACTATAATTATGTAATATATTGTAATATTAGTTATTTAATTAGAATTTAGTGTAAAATTCAAAATACAGTCAATAATATCCAATCAAATATTTATTGATTAATGGAATGTAACGTCTGACATAATGCATTAGGGGATTATATACAGTTAGAAGACCGAAAAAAATTTTCCAGAAGTTTTTCTGAGAAAACTTGAATTGAGAAAAAAAATCTTCAATGAATTACTAAAAAATATATTTAAGAAGCTAGTGTTAAAATTTGAGACTACTCGGTTCAGTCGTTTTCGAGTAATGTTGAGCACCGACTTTGAAAACACCATTCTGAGAAAAACGCGTTTAAAGTTTGGAATACACTTTACATGGGTGTAACTTCGAAAATATTCACCGCAACGATATGAAATTTTCTGTGTGTATTCTTAAATATATGTACATTAAGAAAAATAAGTTTAAAAAAAACCGATATTTTGAAAATTCTACTGTATGTAACCCCTTAGATTAGACTCTAATCTGCATTCAAATTTATGACAGTTTACTTTATTCATGTGACTCTCAACTCTTGGCACTAAATCTTGCTATTGTAGTTACTTGAAATAAAGGAGTAAAGCGCTTACAAAGCTAGCTAATGTTTGTTACTTAAAGGAAAACCATTTGCCAGGTATAAAAGCTAAATGCGCATCACATTTAACGAGAAGTTGGATCAACTGTTTTAGCCTATTCGATGTCAATAAATGTCCTTTAACAGAAAAACACATACACATAATAGTCTGATTAGCAATCGCGTTTAAGAAGAAGCTTTCTGTTAATGTTAAAACTGAAGTTGGCAGATATATAAAATAAAATATAAAAAGCTTTCATTTTCTGTTTAAATCGTTATATTAATGCATACATATGTTTAAATTTACATAGTAGAACATGTATATTAACTGACGCCTGCTACTTCGTACTAGTTTACATCTTATTTCTATGTGTAAGTATGTATGTATGCATAAGCATTTAGTAATAATCAGAAATGGTGTTAGCTTTAACCAATGAAATTTGTGCTTTTAGATACCAAAATTAAAGATGACGCTTGTGTGGACCATTCGTCTTCCACAAAGGCCATTTGTGGATTTCTCACATGAATTTCGTGCTGCTGATATGTATATTTATGTTGCTATTTTAACAAAGCTTTCTCTTTGAAAGGACAGCAGCATGGTACAAAAAGCAAAGTCAAAAAAGTTGTCTGCTACATTGGCAGTAGCATCAGATGCGACCAATTGATTTGTTAGTATGTCGTCGCCTTCCGTAAGAGCAACACGTTCGATTGTTAGTGTTAAGTGATGTAAGCAAATAAAAACGTATGGACGAAATATAAGCACATATAGACTTACGTTTGTCGTGGCAATTGGCTTTTCGTGTCCCGTGAAGTGTTTTCTATATATGAGATTAGATATGTATATACTGTCTATAGTGCAAGCAAGCTTAACCAACTAAACTCATATATTGGAAATGTATACATATGCATAAATACATAACTATGTATGACTTTATATCTACATATGTACTTATGTACATATATGAAATGCGTATTCAAAAGCGTGCACCAAAATTGCATTGAAGAACCGGTAAATCATAACTTCCCTTATTATAGTCTAAAAGGTATTGGTTAAAATTAATTGTTTGGTGATAAATAACAGTTAGTTTTTTAAAGCAGAATGTTTGTAGTAATGACATTTACAGCGTGTTGAACTATTGTACATACATATGTATATTTACAAACAAGTTTTGTAGCGAAACTAAATTTAAAAGTTTTACGCCGCATCATAATGAGTACATGTCTATCTGTACTTATGCACTTATTTACATGTGTGTATGTGTAACTAGCGATATCTGCGTCAATAAATGGAAACCAGCATTTTAAGATTTTAAAACGGGGTATACCAGTTTACATAGGACCAGTGATAAGGAAAGTGGTGATAATATTATATGTATATATAGATACATATGATATCTACTAATATGGCACTTCATTTCAGAGATTTTTGCTTTGCTTTATCATTTGCAAAATTACCTGCAATTATAGGAGATCCATTGATATATATGTATATACATATATAATATGAATTTAACTAGATATATTTACAACCAAGTGTCTTCGGGTGTGTTTAATATTAATATATTTTTAAATTGAAAAATATTTTAACACTTTTGAAAACTTAAAAAAGTGCTTTGTCAGCGCACTCGTTTCATCTTCGATAATTTTTAAAAGCAATATGGTAACGTGTACAAGCAATGTATATATGTATGAATGTGTGAAAAATTATCTGTTGCACGAACAGATAAATAAGATTGCGAAACACTAAATATACATATATGTATGTATGCATGTAGATACATATTATATAGCAGATATATTTAGTGTTTCGCAATCTTATTTATCTGTTCGTGCAACAGATAATTATATATAATATATATTTTATTGTTTATACATACATATCAACGATACAAATATATTAATCCCAAGGATGACATGCTGTGAAGCCCTTTGTTTCATGTGAGTGCGGTGAAGCTCCACATATGTATTTATAATATTTACCTAGCATTCTACTATTAAAAAAATCAGATTAGGCATTTTAAAAATAGATTTTAAATATTTTGTAATTTCAACATTTCGGTTTCCCAGTGGCCCCACATCACTCATATACAACCTTTAATACATATTTATGTACATAATTTCAATAAGTACTAAATAAGTACATAGATAATACGTCAACATTTTCAGAATTTTTGAAACAAAATGTAATATACTATGTATATATGGTGGGTCAAAAAAACAAATGTTTTTTTCGCTTGGTACTCAAACAAATTGGTTGATAGGTACCTCTAAGAAAGTCTCTTCAAATATGAGCTCTTAATTGTACCGGAAAGGTCCTCCGCCTTACGATTTTCTCTTTTTTTCTTATTATCAAATAGAAAAATTCATATATCGGTTCCAACTACTTGAAAAATATATATCGTTTCATATCTTTTGTAGGCAAATCAATGCTCTACAAAAAAGATATCTACGATTTTTTCGTAAACCTAACCGTTTAAAATTTAAATTTTATAACTCATTGAAAAAAAAAAAATTATTTAAAATTGTAAAGCTCATCGTTTTGTAGGAAAATTACTGCTCTACAAAAATGATATGAATCATTTTTCGTTTAAAATAACCGCTTACGAGATATTCATCGTCAAAGATCAATGGAAAATAAAAAAAAGATACCATATTTGTGCAAAGTTTTACCCAGATACATTGATTGCTTCTTGTTTTGTGTACTAGAAAGTGAAAGAATCAGATGTAATTTAAAATAGTGTTATATGGGAAGTAGGAGTGGTTTTTGTGTGATTTCGCAAATCATCCAAATTTTTAACAACGGCTCCTCTAAAGCCCTTTCGAGACATCTCTCCCCCCCATTTTGTGCTGCATTTCGTCGAATGCTTTGGTTCTAACAGACCGCTTTCGTTCAATTTTCTTTTTATTTCAAAACTATAGTTATATAAAAGAAGCTTTTCCCAATATTGAGCGGTTTAATCTTTTTAATAATTTCAGACATTTTTTAATTTTTTAAATACAAATTTACCACTAGCTCTCGTTTAGCTTCCATCGCATAGTCGATCTTGAAATAACTTAATTAAAGACAAGTTTGCTATTTGAATTTTTGGAATTTCATTTGAAAAATCATGGCATACTTAGAAAATTTCTAAATTCAAATTTGCAAGGCATTACAATACATTTTTGTACTATCTAATATATATACGTTTCACCTAAGCATAAACTCTTTTAAGTAGAAGATATAATATTATATATGTAGGTAGTTGAATTTGTGGATATACCAGAACCAAAGAATAACCAAAGAATAACGAAAATATTTATGTATTTTAATCACAAACTGAATTATGACTTTACAGAAATATGAAAAATGGAATTACGGAAAAACAGGACCTAAGAAGACGAACTGTTCGCTAGTTCCTGTGAAATAGCCATCATGTTTGCTCCGCCACGCTATGCTTGCTGCCTGCCACAAAAAAGCAGAATAAAATAAATACATATTTCTATTATTAAGGGAATGTATAGACCTATTTTCGCCATCACGCAAAGCTGTGCAAAATATATCACCTAACTTTGCTTAGGTGCTGCTTGTACATATGACCAATATTTACGGTATGAAGTCATCAGAAAATCAATACTAAAAAAAAATATTGACCTATTTCTTCCATTTCTTAAATAAAGATTGATATAGTAATCAGATGCATGCAAGTAATGGTGTGTTCAAAGGAAATTGATATTTTTCTTATACTTTATTTTCAAACCATCAAAAGCAAATAAAATCGTATTCCCGATAAGAGATATTATAACATATGCTCATCTTTGACTTAATTTTATTTTTGGTTAATTTACCTTTAAATATTATGATTAAATAATTACAAAAAATATTTTTTATATACTTACATATATAATATATCTGGAAAAAGCGTTGAGTTTTATGGTTGAATTTCATGCATAGTATCTTTATATGTATACCATACAATATACTTGATAAAGGGCAGCTAATTAAAAACGAAGGTACTTAGACCGTCGCTATATCAGAAGTGGATGTAGCAATGAATTAAGAGCTGAATATATTTCAAATAAAAACTGGCGGATAATTTGAATTTGTTACGTACAAGACGTAGTAAAATTAAATTATTTTGATTTTATGCAGCAATCTATAAAATTTATACTACGTAGTTGTTGGCAGGCTTACATTATTTATTTATCGAATGTTTGTACAATATAAACAAATTATATATAAAAAAAAGAAAAACTTTTTTTACTACTTACAGGTTTCCTAATTATGTACCAATCTGGAACGTCAACATTGTCTTCAATCCCGCACATCCCATGAAAAATTAAAACGGATGTGTATGAATCCAAAAAAAATTGAGTGATAAGTTCAAAATTTAGAATATTAACTAAATTTGCAGTGGGGACTGCAAGTACTTTAATTTTATTCGCAGAAAAACATTGAATTAAACTCAATCTTCTTCAAAGAATTCGCAAGTCAAATACACAATGGCGATATAACAATGATTACTACTAATACATGTATTAGGTTATGTGATGGATGGTATTAATGTTCGTTTGTATAAAGTGGAGCCTCCAGTTGTGCTGGCCTATGAGCATATTCCCCCGCCTTTCATTCCTGATAATTCAGCAACGACAAATTCGAATGTAAGTGCCGCTGTTATTGCTGCGATTGACAGCCCAAATAGCACTGCTAATGACTTCATTTACGTAAAAGTAAGCAATAGCAGCACTCCTGCAACAAGCACTTTGGTTTCACTAAGCAACTCTACCTACTCTCACTTCATTTCGGCTGTTTCTCATGCTGTCCTTACGCCGACACCACCAACAACGACTTTATCAATGGCATCATTCGATCTTCATCCAGTTTTGATTGAGCAAGACATTTCTTCACCATTTAACGGTGGCAATAAACTGTCGGAGGATGTATTGGGAAATATTTTGGGACCATCAACAGAGACGACAGAGGGTGTAGGAAATGATAAACTAAATTCGTTCTATTTTTACGAGGTGAGTAACGCACATACATATTTACCATTATACCAATTTGCAACGGTTACGCGTTCCCAAGTATTTATGTGCATTAATAAAATTACAGCTATATTATATGTAACAAATAATGTTTTTCGAACAATTAATATTATATATGCACTTAAATGCGGTAAAAGCAAATTGCAATTTTTAATTTTTTTATTGTTGCATTATTAACAAAATTACAAAAAAGTATTAATCAAAAATAAAAAAAGAGGTAATAATCATAATTTGAATTTTTTGCACAACCCTCAATTTTTTATGAACTCGTTGGAACATTTTCATTTCTATCAAATTCACTTAGCTACACGACTGGATATACGGATCCGTTATTACGAATGATCCCTAAAATTGTCAAATATTTGAATGTATCTATAGCCATATCCAACAGTGTTTGAAAATAATTGTATTAGGCATATGTGCGTTAAATAATATTGTCTTTTGACACTAACTTATTACATCATTACATCGTGCTCACACAGCCACCAATTCACAAACAACGACAATGCTTTCCACTTCTTCTACTATAGATGTCAATTCCTTTCAAACTAAGTGTCTGGAGTATGAATGGCATACATTTACGAATACGTACATTTAACATACTAAGAATCATAGAATGGCACTGACGTCATAGCTGAAACACCACGAGCAGGATTTTATATTTTACAATATATAAAATTAATACGAGACATACATATGGTGTACATACAGACAAGTATATATATATATATATACAAATATATATCGCATTCGGCATAAGATTTGTTAGAATAACGAAAATCATTATATGTAGTATAATACAATAGTATAATATATAATATAAATATAATTTCACACATCATCCCCTTGTTGTTATCGTATATGCCATATTTTTACAAAATTGAGTTTTTGGTGCAAAGTTGTTCTAAATTTAGACTTCTTTTAATTATACTATTTGTATTACGTTTATGAATTTGGATACAGTGAAATGTGGGGATTATCTGAAATAAGTAGAAAAGCATGGCTATTGTCGTGCATTAAACCGAAGCCAATAGGTCGTAGAAATACTCCTAGCTACTAGCTTAGTACATGAAGAAACCACTTTTAAAGTGTGCAAAATTTTATATTTTTGCAAATGTTGATTAGATATGCGCTTGAACAGCAAACTTTGGTTAATCGAAAGAAAATTCCTCATAATAAAGTAGATGCTAAGAAAACTGGACTGCTTCAAGCTCAAATACATGCATACATATGTTATGTAGAAATTCTGCCAGCATATATACCATTATTGTAGAGCCGAAAGCAACGAAGTTTACACATTTACCTATACAAATGTTGTGTTAAGTACATGACAGATAAAAATCTTCGCGACTCTATTATGTTAAATTCTGTTTTAGGAAAACTTTGAAAGAAGTATTAAATATCGGTTTTCATTCACCTAATAAAGATAAGTGCACAACGTGGGAGTATATACAAGACAACTTAGATGAAAATGAAATTGAAGAATTTAAGTCAACGGAAAAGTTTCAACTGCATATCAGAAATAAAAAAACAGAGCAAAGCTTTTTTCATTAAGGGGGTATGCTAGTGTAGAATTTCAAAAAAAAAAAATCAGTTTTTTTTTCTTATTTTCAAAGTTGAACTATTTAAAAATATGTATACGAGAGGATTTTTGAAAGTTTTCAATTATTTTCGGGGATATAGACATTTTACTGACGCGGTCTCCAAACTGGTTCGGCTGAGTCTAATCGAACAAAAGACTTTACGCGAAACTTTAAATGCGTTTTTCTCAGACCGGACTTTTTCAATACGATACCCACGATTTCTCGAGTTCTACTAGACCGATTTACTTTAAATTTTCAAAGAATCTTCTTTATAGACCACTCTCGAGTATAAACTAGCCTCATCTCTGAATTAAAAAAATGGTAAAAAATCGTTTTTTTTTCAAACAGTCGCCATTTTGTCCAATTTTTCTTTTACTTATCGCTAGTTCATACAATTGCGACATCATTGCAGATTGATAATCTTTTTTTATATTTCAGATGATAATCAATATTAGGGTTGATATCATGAGTATGCTCATGTGCCAATTTTTTGAAACCCCCACTTCATCAGCCGCCAGTTTTTTAATTTTTTAAGTTTCTTCTGTACTCTTGTAACATTAATAAATAGCTGATAAAAAAATCTATAATACAAATATTTATTGGCTTTTTTACGAAACTTTAAAAATTACCTAAAATTCATGTCTCTAGACTTAAATTTAACATTAGCACTACTAATTAATTTTATTATTTAAAAAAATTATTATTGCTATCTTATAAATATCTTTTTTTTATTAGTCAAAATCAATCTTATTCGCATTTTATCTGGTTTTGTAAGTGCCAGAGTTAATCACTACATGTTCAAAACTTGAACAATTATAGTCCAATTTTGACAATTTTTTTACTTTATATGGCATGTCTTAAAGGCACTATTTGTGCAAAGTCTTATACGGATACATTCATTGTTGCTTTATTTGTTACTGGAAAATGAAAGAATCGGTTGGAATATAATTTTGTGTGATATGGGAGGTAGGCGTTGTTGTTGTCTGATTTTTCCCATTTCCGCACATATTTCCTTCTCCGATAGCACTCATCTACAATACCAAACAGCCTATGTTGTCGAGGAACCTGTGTATCATTTTAACTCGTATTGTCATTCTGATCATTTATAAATATATTCATTTCTCTATATCTATCTCAGATTAGTTTTAGATGTTACAAACAACCGTTAGGTGAATAAAACTATTATATCCTGTAGCAACATGTTGCTAGCATATAAAAATGTGAATAAACCTTTGGCAAAATCATTCTTGGAAAACTCTCCCTGGTGTGCCCATCGTTTGTACTTCAGAAATCTTTATTTAATCAGTGGCTACTGTTCTATGATTTTTTTCAACAACATGCGAAATGTCTCAATGAATTATGTAGAATAAAAAATTAATTAATTGTGTTAATGACATAATTGTCATTCGATTTCTATTTTGTCATTCCTTCTCATATTCGCAGGGTATTGAGTTTTAAATCGCAAGCATTTCTTAACAGAATATGATTGCGTAAATTCAGAAACAAACGTATATACATACAATATATAAGTATTTATACATACAAGTGAAAGTAAATTCTACCCCATACGAATTATTTTTTTATTCTCTTTATTTTCTCTTTAGGGACTCTTTGCTTTAGGATAGACAGACAGATTTCACTTTACTTTTGCTTTATTTTTTAGGCTGACAAAGTAGCAGACTTGAGTAGACTTGAGAAGATGTCACTACGCCTTAGTTGCCATGACTAAAATTATTCAAATCGTGCGTATATATGTGCGACTCAGTATTTAAATACATGTGTATTTGTGCACGTAACTGCTGTCGAGACATATTTACATCTTTAAACTTAACGGCTAGCTTTGCCTTTCATATTGTATCCAAATAAAGCTTTTTGCAGCGCATTACTTATTAAATCTCTAAAAATGGGCCTGCGGGACGTTAAACAATATAATGATTTTTAACCATTTATTATGCGCTAATTTTATTAAAGATACTTAAAGTATTATAGAAAATTCAGTAATTATAAATATTATATGTTGGCATTTGTTGCTTAATCCCATTCGTACATTCTCATTCTATACACAAGATAATTTTGAAGGTTAACAACCACATTGGGAAATATTTGCCCCATTTCGTTGCGATTTCAATCTACTTGTGGAGCATAATGTTTTAAATTTGCTGGGCTTTATAATATGTATATATATAGTCGTGCAAATATAAAAGCGATTACTGGAATTATGTTTCTACTATAGATCAATAAATTAATTCATTTTATATAATAGTTTACAAATATATACTTACATACCTATAAAAGAAATAAGCACATCCACGCTTGATAATATATTTGCTCCTTTCTTCCTAGTGGGTACAGCGACAGTATTTATACATTTTAAACGTTAATAAAAGTCAAAAAAAAATTCCATACCTTATAAACTACTTTGCCGATTGGAGAAGTTTCGGTTCATTCAGGCATTTCTCTGCATTCGGACCACAATTACGCCTATTTAAAATATGATGACATTTTACGCGCCGCCGTCGCATTTAATGAACAAATTTTATTTCGATTACATACACATGTATATATATACTGTAATTGCCGAAATACGAGAACAACGCTGTTTGGATAGTACAGTAAAACACATGAATTCGATTCTTTCAATTTTAAAGACCAGTTACCATACAAGTCATCCTTTCAAGTTTAAGCGAATTTTCTGCAAAAATGTTATCAAACTTCGATGATGTTTGGATAGCTCCAATTGAAAATTTCTGTAGGTTATGCACATTATTTTTCAGTTATACAGTACTGTCTGCTAAAACGTAGATAAAAAATGGCTGAACCGACATTCATTTCGCATTTCGTAAACCCCTCTCATCTAACCATGGCAGATTGATGAGACTACATATTAAACAAAGACATTTCTGAAAATTTCGCTATGCATTTACCTCGTTTAGAATGTTTTTCTTTGTTTTATTAATAATATTCAAATTATATTTTCTACACACTTATCATCTTTCAGATGGAACAGTTTGCAGTACTGTGGATACTCTTCACTGTTATAGTGCTCGGTAACTCTGCGGTGCTTTTTGTGCTGTTTGTAAATAAAAATCGAAAATCAAGAATGAATTACTTTATTAAGCAGCTGGCACTCGCAGGTAAGAGTCTAGATATTCTACCAAATAAACATGGGTTTTCAACTATAAACATTATCTTTATTAAATTTATATATATAATTTGCAATAAGATCTTTCTGTCGGCTTACTTCATGTGCTTACTGACATAATATGGCGAATAACAATTTCATGGAGAGCCGGTAATATTGCTTGTAAGCTCATACGCTTTTCCCAAGTTTGCGTAACATATTCATCTACATATGTGCTAGTAGCTATGAGTATCGATCGCTATGACGCCATAACACACCCCATGAACTTCTCGAAATCATGTGAGTCTTAACTACTTGTAAACAATTGATAAATTTATTTGTACAGTAGATGCGCTTTGATTTACATTGACTTCTCGTAAAGGGCGCAGGGCAAAACATCTTGTTACAGCAGCATGGATGGTTTCAGTACTTTTCTCGTTACCCATTTTGTTTCTTTACGAAGAAAAGCTAATCCAGGGCCAGCTGCAATGCTGGATAGAACTTGGTTCGCCGGAAGCATGGCAAACATATATGTGCCTAGTGGCGACAACACTATTCATTGTGCCCGCGCTGATCATCTCAGCTTGTTATGCGATTATCGTCAAAACTATTTGGGCGAAGGGCTCCATATTTATATCCGCAGGTAAAGTATGCATATACTTATATAATTCATGAATTTACATTTTCGACCGCAGAACGTTGTAATAATAATGTAGCTACTAGAAGAGCCAGCTCTCGCGGTATAATACCACGAGCCAAAGTAAAAACTGTCAAAATGACATTTGTCATTGTCATCGTATTCATACTGTGTTGGTCTCCATACATTATCTTCGATTTACTGCAAGTATTTGGACGTATTCCGAAAACTCAAACCAATATTGCTATAGCAACGTTTATACAGAGTTTAGCACCACTAAATTCAGCAGCGAATCCACTCATTTATTGTGTATTTTCATCGCAAGTATTTCGCACACTCAGGTTAGTAACACATTTGTGAAATAAAAATTATAACGCTCGTAACGCTGTTTTAGATTTATTAACACACACATATTTGGCTTTTGTTACTTTCCCAGCCGTTTTCCCCCTTTCAAATGGTTCAAATGCTGTTGCCGTTCTTATTTAAACAATTCAACACAAAGTCGTTGCAGCAGCGTGAGCCGTCGACTTCACTACAGCTGCGATTCAGTACGAACATTGACCACTTCGCTCGCCGTATCACGACGCTCTAATAAAGCGTCAGCACATGTGGTCATATGTGAAAAAGAAAAAGATCCATTAGCCGTTTCGGAAGTATGATGTCGTGCACTATTTACATATATCGCGTCTAAGCCCACAATCCTAATAACTTAGGTTCTTTTTAAATTAAAATTAAATTGCTTATGGTACAACAATTATAAATTCGTGAATTATTGGCACCAAAAGAAGCAAAAAACACAAATGCTATAGTATATCCTAATCCTTATAGCTGATTTGGGTAAACCTTTGCTCGCTTTTGCTTTGCTAAGTAAACATAAAAGGCCATGCCATAATGAACGCTTTGCTTTCCATGTTTCTCGCAGATAACTATTTATAATTTCCTGTATTTATTTTCAACTTAACAGATTTGAAAAAACTAGAGTTGCATATGTACACATGTATGTATTGTATTTATTTCGAAGCATAAAAAGTTTGATTGTCAACATTTTGCTTCGCTTTGCTTTACTTCGCCGCGATTTTAACGAACTCATACAAAAGCATACATCGAACTTATCTGACAAAGCAATAATCCGAAGCAAACATTGTATGTGAATCGGTCATTAAAGAGCTCTTTTCAGTCATTAACATTTATGCTAACATGTCGTATAGATGCTGATATACTTAAATCATGGATATGTAAGGAGATACATGCAGAACATTTAATTATTGTAATATGGCCAATATGTATTTTTTATTTATTTATATACATATATATATATGTATGTATGTAGAGAATGTTAAACTAAAACAGAATGCATAGACGATAAGAATAAGGTCAGTCAATATCTTAAAAAATTACAAATGAGTTTTTTTTTAAATAAAAGAAAATTTATATACATTCAAACAAACCTCTGATTTTTATTGCGTGGCTGCTTCATCCGCTCTACCCTTCCCGCGAAAATAACGTAAGTGGCATATTGTCGATTTTTGGTTTTTTTTTTGCAATTATATTGACATCTAAACCAAAAGCCAAATCAATACAAAAACTAAAATATCGGAAGTAAAATTATAACGCAAGAGACGAGCAAGCTTCTTCCAGCCTGCGAAAATAACGTAAACGATATGAAATGATATAACTGGAAGTATGAAATATAAATAAATCAATATAGTAAAAATAAACAACTAAAGAACACGCCTTTAAAGCACTTCAAACTAAAAAGTGAAAAATAATTCTTAATCAATAATAAAATAAATAAACTGACAGTAATATTGAACGAAAAAGACTTGTATTATTGTGAGAAGAGTGTGGTATTTTCGATATACGAAAAATATGGCACAAATCATCCCACGCGCAAAAAAAAAGGCAATTCTAAATTCAATTAAATAAAAAATTATTTGACAAACATAAATATAAATATGACATTCATTCAATATAAGCGACAGCATTTGTAGAATATATGTCCTTGCGACTATCCGCGAAAATAACGTAATCGCCAAAAAGAAGAGTTTATGCCCAAAGTAAGCCTTAAGACGGATATATATATTACGTATATAGCATTTCAAGTATACGCTATGTTGGGTTTCATTGAAATCCGCCAATCAACATTGATTCATTATTCTATAAAACTATAAACATATAAAACTAAATTATAAAATATATATAAAACTTTTGTAAAATTTGATTTTTGATATTAAGTTATTTTGCTGGAAGTCATAAAAATCAGAAGTTTATTATTTATTTTTTTTATGAAAGAGTGAGGAGAGCATTGTTTTGAGTTCATTACCAATACCATGGGAAATATATCGATTTTTGGCAGTTTAATATATCTTTAAAGACTAGGAGGACAACCTGCACTACAAGTTTTCTAAATAAAAACTTGTGAATTGCAACTTTTCGGAATGTACTTTTCCATTAATACAGAACCATATTCCATCATATGAATATGGATCATTGAACTCTTGTGAAAATTTAGATTTTTTAAACAAGGGATAATTTATGTTTATGGAAAACATCTTTAAAAATAGTCAATATTGATTTTGTCAACCTTTTTTTTTGTGAAAATTTGTATAATTTATATTAGCCAAATTAGGTTAGGATAAACAATCATTGTTGAATATTTTGTTGAAATTCTAATATATATATTATATATGTATACAAAAATATATTTTTAAACTGTGTTTATGACACACCATTACAACCGCTATTGTAGACAATACTTACCAAAATGATTCAAGAAATGTATTATTTATATTTTTTTTCTATTTTTTAGGTGGAAATTGCATTTAAGATTATTAACGCATGAATGAATAGACATGTTTAGACCTTAGAAAAGTTGGTATATGATTCAAATATTTATAACCAGATATATCGACGTTTGTTATACCAGTAAACAATTGTGCATGCGTTGTTGTAAAACACTTTGGTTCATTGCGATTTGGCTTTGTATACTTTACCAAGAAAATAAATATTTTTTATTTCGGGCTCGATATTTGAATAAAATATATTAGAGGATTTAAACTTTCGTTAAATTTGGAAAAATCAAAATTATGATAAGTTAAAAAGCCAAAACTTCTGCTCCAACAAGTAAATCGATATCCAAATTGGAGGAGAAGTCTGTGCCTTTTACACTGCGACAACAGCTGGAGAATGATTTAAATATACTCGTCTGTATATGTACATACTCGTACAAAGCTCATCGAAATAGTCAAGTTAGCCACTTTTAATGCACAGTTAAATATTATTGATCACGAAACACGGCAAAAGATAGATTAGCTGCCATTACAGTTTTACTTCCGACATGTTTGTTATACTTGGCCCTGTTTTCACACTAACATATTTGCCACCTTCTATTCGATTCTCATATTGTTCCATTGTAAAATTGTCATCGACCCTGGGCAGCTCAGGTACTCTGCGATTATTAGATATCTCAAAGTGGCCAGATTCACTCAATCGCCTAATATTTCGCCGAATCGCCTCATTACCCAGGCTGCTGATATTACTTGGTGGCTTTTCAAGTAGTTTAGGTTTAGATTGTGATAAATTTATACAGCTCGTCAGAGAGGGGTTAGGTTTTACCTCGTTGTCGGAATCACGATAGCTTCTTGTATTTAACTCACTCTTATACGCATTGAAGTTAATGTTACTATTGCCACTTCCAGATAGGCGGCGTCCTTTCGATAAAGCCCTTTCCTTAGCCAGCGATATAAAAGATTCTTCCGTTGCTGTACAATTAGGACAATTGCATTTCTGATTCTGTGTACGATCCTCGCTAACTTCTCTCTGAGTCTCGGCAATGAATTGACACAAACATTTAAACTGTCGTAGACTTTTCTCGCTTTGCTGTGATATTTCTGCAATAAACAAATGTTAAGAGCATTAACTTCACAGTTCAAAGTTCAAGTTCAAGCCTCACTATCTAAAATATCCAAGTACATTTTGCTTAGTAAACATTCGTTCCTCATCATCTGCGAACACAGCGTGTCGACCTTTTCCATTGTATGGACAAAATAATTTCGCATCATACATTCAACCGAACTCTAATAAAAAACATTAATTATGTTTATTTCATACATTTGAAAGGTTAAGTATAGTCGTATAATTCGTATACATAACATTATACTGACCTGCACCGTTTCCAATACCGTGTCATGTACAATACTGAGAAAGTCGGCACATGAATTCTGAATATTTTTGCTACTGAATGGTTCTTCATCGGAATCTTGTTCCGCTTCCTCACTAATTACCTCCATACGCTTTTTGAGGTCCTGGTATTGAAAGTTTTGCTTGTTCTTGGTCTGCTTAGGATTTTTAGATTCCATACTGGGTTCACTCTCGGCAGGTACACTTAAACGTTTACCGTTTTTAGTTTGTGATGTACGTTTACTATTATTATTTTTAGTCATGGACGGCTTATTTGAAGAATATCTCGACTTAGTTTTTTTGGGAGGAACTTGTACATCAGGAACCATTCGCGTTGGAAAACAATCAAGACAGGACCGATTTCGACGGATATTGCAGCAATCACCCATATAATTGCAACAGGGCGAACAAGACGAACAGCAGCAACATTCCGATTGACGCGGGCAGCAACTCATTACGTGTTCAATTTTCAACACTTATTTTATTTCGTTTAGACGGTATGCAATTTTGGTAGATAGCGGAGAAATAGATTCACTTACTGAGTGGGAGTCGAAAACAAAGCAACGAAATGTTTGATATATTTTCACAAGTTTAAATATTCCAAATCTAATTTAGACATTTTGTTTTGGCAGCAAGATTCGAAGATTGTATGTATTACATATGTATGTATGTATAACAATTTTTATTTAAAAAAATACTGACAAAAATATCTAATGGGAAAAGATCGATTTAAGCGTAAGCAAAATTACAGCAAAAGCAGGTAAATAGCATGACGCTTAAGCATAGGAAAATGTGTATCTTTCATTGAAGTTATAAAGATGGCAAATTAACATCTCACTAAATATGTCAAACCAGATCAAAATTAAATATTTTAATCAAACTTTTTATTATTCCAAAGATACATATTTGATAAAGATTTTGTGAAATTTTCAAAAAAAAAATATTCAAAACTCGGTCATTACAACACGGAAATGACAGTACCACGGAAAAGAGTTGCTTTCGCGTTGAGAGCAGATTTTCTGACAGGATCATCAAAAGTAAAAAGAAAAAAATACGCGCTTCAACTAAAATCATAAACTAGGTATTGAATGAAGGAAAAACAAAATAAGTGAAAATTATATTTTTGGCAGACGTTTTTACAAAGAAACTGCAAATTTTGTGAAAATTTCTCGACCGTTTTCTGTTTTTTAAATAGTTTTAATTGAACAAAAAAATAATCCTTCATTGAAGACGTTATAAATTATATTTCGAAGATCTGTGTAAAATTTCATTAATATCGGTTGAGTAGTTCGTGAGAAATCTTGCCAACCGACTTTGAAAACAATTTTTCGGGAAAAACGCATTTAAAGTTTTAAGTTACTATATAGCTGCCCTCGAGTGAGCAACTTTTTAAAACTGTACTTCCAAAACTATTACTGAGATCTACTTGAGGATTTAGGACAATATTCTAAAGATGTTATAGAATTAAATAAGACAATACATTTCTTTTGTTTTTGTTTTTTTTATTTCCATGTCTCAAAATTTTCTTATTAAATATCTGCACTTTGAACATCTGCACTTATTAACATTATAGTTTTAGTAGCAATTTTTTAACAAACAAACCTTAATGACCCTGCACAGGTACCTAGATTATAATTTTATAGAGTTGTACTACTTTATACGATGTAAGCATGTGGATAGAACACTTCCGATTTTGGGTTGTAATGATGGCAATATTCTATTCATGAAATACGTACACATACATATACACTTCGTATATATCTTTATTTGAGAAATGTAAAGCATTTTTAGTAAAAAAAACAAAAAAAAACACTTCAAAAAAGAATAGACACACATTGAGGCATTTATAATTATCACCATTAATTTACGTTAGCACGTCATTGAAGACCCTCATTCGGAGATTTAGTGTTAGAAAATTCCTCTAAACTAACACTAAAGTACGTTTTGCGTTGTTTTAATGGTAAGAAGCGCCGTACAAAGGGCGAAAGTAATGCTGGATCTAATTTTTCTAAATTCGTTGTACCAAATATTCCAGTTGACAGGCATGCGACGACAATCGAAATAATTGCACCAAAAGCGGAATACCACAAAAACGAAAGATGGTATAAATTGCGCTGCTCGAAAGTTGTTGGCCTACAAAATATACTTAGTTAAGCAGAGTTTTAATTGGTTCATAAAAAAACTCACTTGTAGTTGTAGATGGTATCCCAAGCTGTCGCATTATCAAATACATATTCACAGCCATTAATGGATACTGGCATTTTTGGATAAGCAATTTCCCCCTTCATTTGAGCGATTTGTGCATTAGCACATATCCAACTCAAAACTAAAAAACCTGTCACACAACCCATAAGTGCACTCTTGCCATTGATCCATGGCATTGTAACGCCCATTGTATAAACAGCTAAGAGTGGACCCATTGTGACTGCCCCTGTCATTGTGGCTAATTGTAAAACCATACCAAGTTTCTCGACGACATAAACCAAACCGATGCAGGCTATACCAAAAACAAAAACGATTAAACGCAATAAAATAGCTGTATGTCGTTCCTTCAGCGGTGACTTCAAGAAGGATGCAATAATATCTTGAGATATAACACAAGCCAAGGAATTCAACCCAGTAGATAATGAGCTCAACGCTGCGCTGAATACACCAGCAACAAATAGGCCTGCCAAACCAGGTATATCACCGACCGTCTTCATTACGAATAAAGTTGGCAACTGATCACTAGCCGCAGCAAGCTGCAAATAAACGATATTACCCTATATTATTATATTATATATATATATTAACTTTGTACCTACCTTTGTGCTAATTGGATCGCAGTCGTAGTAACTGGCATATGCTAATAATCCCATATAACAACAACACAACAACAGAAAGATTAACAGAATATTAAATAAAACGACTGTCTGTTTGGCTTTTTGGAAAGAAGGCAATGAAAGGTAACGTTGGATGCAAATTTGATTGACAGCAGACGATTGTATCTTATGAAGGGATCCTCCCACAAATACAGCTAACATAGACAAACGTACAGTAGGATCCCAAGTCCATCTATAGCAAAAAAGCGAACATTAAATTTTTACGCCTATATAAAACCAGTTAGTAGTTTTCGCTTACTCTGGTGTGTTCAAACGACCACTTTCACTATTTCGTTGCAGAACCACCTCTAAACCCCCCACATCAAGAGTTCCTTTAATGCAAATAGTCACTATTGTTCCATACATAATGATGCTCTGCACAACATCTGTCCAAATCACTGCCTTTATGCCGCCCTATTTATAATAATAATGAAATGCGATAGAAAATTCCTTCAGTATCATACTTATATAAGCTTACCACGCAAGTATAGAAGGTGCAAATCAGACACACTATTGGAGTTACAATATGCGTATCGATGCCAGATACTGAAAGAGTAAAGAAAGATGTGTGTTCAAAATGTTTAGCTATCGTAGTGCTAACCAACCGCCAATTTGCTCTCACCTTGGTTAAAGGTCAAAGCTGGTACATATACTGCAACGGGCAGCCAAAGAATCTTTATTTGGCAAAATAATTTCAAAAATATTATAATTATAAATTAAAATAATTGTAGTTAAACTGCATAGCTCACCATGCCCACGATAAATAAAACGGATCCAAAATAGCGTACTTCACGACCAAATCGCATTTCAAAGTACTAATCAGGGAATAAAATGAAATCATAAAAAATATATATGTTGTATTTTATTAAGTTATTCTATAAGTCATGTAACCAACTAGGTCAATCTGTACACTTTTTTATATACAAAACGTTTACTTAAAATAAACCTACTTCACAGAAATCGCTTTATTCGTCAGATTCATATATACCTACATCTTAAATACACCGTTACACATAATAACATAATGCTTATCGGATATATTGGATATACTAGTAAAAGCAGAATGAATGAACAGCTTTATCTATTTTTTGGCATCAAACCACTTTATACTAATTGTAAATATGCTCATCTAATTTCAATACTTCCATGACTAACCTATTAATATTTCCACTAGAGCAATGAAAACTATTATATTGCGTATCTGACGGTTAGAGCAACTTATCAGCCAATAAAAACCAATTTTTAACTAGAACAGATAATGACTAATTGAGATTGTTGGAAGGAAAATAACATATTTAATAATATTAAGCTAACTCACAAATTGACGAATATACCTGCATATATATATGGTATAAAGTCACTGGAAAGCATTCAAATGTATCAGTTATTATTTAGAATTATTGGTCCCATTAATAGATCCGATGGTATTCAGATTGCGCTCATTTTCAAAATATGTTATACAGTAGTATTGCAAATGTTATAATCTTCTTTTGCATTTTCCTTTATATTGCGATCCATTGAACTAAATTTAAGTTCGGTTCTGCCCATCCGTAATACATACCCAACATTTCAGTGTGCCAAGAAACATGTGGTAAATTTCAATATCTCATTGTTTACTCAAATTGTCGTCTGCGCAGGCAAACGGACACACATACAACCGGAAATACACATCTCTTGTCACTCGTTCATTTAAATACATGGCATACTACTGTGATCAAAAAGTAAGGTTCCGGGCATCAGAAATGTACGTAATTTTTCTCTATGTTGGTGAGAATGTCTGTAACATTTGCCAAGCAACGTCAAAAGATTTAATTATCTCCGAGTTACACGTATTTTTGTAAGCAACCAAAAATGAGTTTTTCGATTTTTACAATTGTTGATTTTGTTGACACCCAAGGGAAGTGATATTGCAGATGGGCATAATCGGACCACTGCCACGCCCACAAAACGCCATTAAAAACAAACATGTAAAGTGCTATAACTAAACACTTAATTAATATACCGAACTGTAATTTTGTACAGGGGATCGTGGCAACAAGGGACACCCTTAGGATGAAATTTTTATGGAGGTTACCCAGCCTTACACACCACACACTGTAAAAATGGGCGCAATCGTACAACGACTATTAAACTATGCCGCCAAAAGCATGAACTATCCATCATGCAAAAAAAATGCCCCTAAAACTATGCAGCTAAAAACATCAACTATCCATGGTGTCATTTGTATAAAAGAAAGTGAAAATATCATGTGTGGCTAAATAACAAGTATAGTTTAAAATAAAAAACACGCCTTTAAATTTTGACAGAAATATTAACCGAAAAATACTTGTATCATTGTACATATCAAAACGTGTGATGGTTTTTGCCATATTTTTCGTATATCGAGCACATCACACTTTTCTCACAATAATACAAGTATTATTAATTTATTCAACTGACTAAAGACTGATATAAGAATAAAGCGAGATCTGTACCTAAAATATATTCATCCTTTAAATAAATTCTGACTTACCTCATATGTTGAAGTTAACTGAAGATTGCAAAAAACAGGAAGAAAAACATACCACGATATTATTCCAGATATAACTAACGTAATGAGAATGAAAACATATTGCGTACCGTAAACATAAATTTCGGTAGATGTACCAAGTAGAGATATTCCCGAAACAAAACTAAAAGTGGGAAAGGCATATTGATTAAATAACATATATTGACTAAAAATCTGTTGTCATACTGTTTGATTTAAATGAAATGATAAAGCAATTTTTAACACTGAAACAAAAACCAAAACCATGACCTTGAAAAAACAAGGTGTATAATCCAAAAGGAAAATAAATCCCAAATATTCAATGTACCCCTGCTCACTTGGCACAATCGACATTAACGTTAAACGTACTATGCTATTCGATATTTTTGAAATATTCGAGTTGGAAATTAATATTGTAAAAACGTGAGCACGCACATTTACTCCGCTAAATAAATTACGGTCTTCTGCCACTCCTTCTTCTTCTAATTTACACAACAGAAACCACCGAATTGACACGACGTGTTATGAATCAGTGATTTCAATTGTCCACAATTGTCATCAATTATATTTTATGTTACACAATTTTACGAAATAAAATAAAGTTCACAACAATCGTGATTAATCATGAATTTAAGCAGAATTAGCAATTTGACTACTACCACTATTTATTATTCATATGTAGAAGGAATGAATTAGACTGATTTGCGCCAGTCATGAATTTAGAACAATACCTGGCGACTAAAGACAAAGCCACAGGAAACACTTTCATTTTTCTTCCGCCCACCAAGTATTCTAATGCTGCTGAACCACGACGCTGCTCATTGTCACTTTGCTTTTTCCACTTCTCAATGAATCCAAAATATAAACCAATTATTGCACACACCGACAGCATGAGCACAAAAACGAAATAGTCAAGAGCACCGAAATGTTGTAGAGAAGAGCTAAATTCAGTCACATTCATTGCTTTTATTGTTTTTGTAGCGACAATGGTTGTTACAGTAGAGCCCGTCGGATTCATATTTTCAATTAGGGTGTTATATTTGCTGAATATGTTTGGTATGTGCTCGTACTTGAAACTAGCACAGTATTTGAATCTTGCTTTTCAAACTTTCCGGCTGGACTGGATTAAATGACGCGTTGCGTTACTCGTTTAGATGCACCCATGCCAATTGAATTCAACGGTCGAACTAAATCACAAACAGCGTTGCAATTTGCGAAGAAGTTACTGTATGTATATTTTATTACTGATTAAATATACGATAGCATACGTAGATCATAAGACCCATGTAAATCAATTAAGAATAAGTAAACTACAAAAGCTTATACGCATTTGATCGCGATAAGCCGTTATGTCGCTTACATTGGAGTTAAACGTTTGCGTAAAATTACACCCACATACTAATATTATATCTCGAAACATATTATACTCAGTGGACTTTTTCATCATCTTTGTAAAAATTATCACATATTTGTTTAGAACATTGCCATGAAGGTCTAATTAAGGACTCGGTTCTTCTTCGAGCTTAAGAAAATTAAAGGTTAAATTTCCAAACAATTAGCCAATCTATAGTTGATACCAAAGTTTAGCTAGGCGTTACATCGTTTGCCATATTATTGTTTGTTTATATTTTGCAGCTTTTTCATCGAATACTTTTTTGAAGCATTCCATACTCCAAAGTATGAGTTGCATGGAAACTGTGCGTCAATGAGTGATAAGGACCTCCTCCCACTTGTAAATAACTAAGAATAGTAAAAAAAAAATATATTATCCCTAAAGTTGGTACCCGAGCTAATGTGGCATAGCAGATAGCACAGTCCAACAAAAATTTAAATATTTAGTTTGATTTGAAAACAAATTGGGAAAATACCATTGTAAAACCAAATGCACATTTTGGAAAATAAATATTTGATATATGTTTTTATTAAATGTCAACTATAGTCATTCTGCTTCAAAGGGTTCTTTGTATTAAATTTATTTCATAGAGCGAAATATTGTAAATATTTAAATTAATTTTAGTCTGAGATGATGTGCTAAAGAATTATATTTAGTTAAAAAATTTTTATTTCTATTTTAATCTGAGCAAATCAGTTGATGCTTTTATTTATAAAGGAATTTTTTAATTCCCTGTTTAGTGGCATTTCTCTTCCATCAATTTTGATGCAATGATTAAGACAAACAAAATATTTAACATATTTCTACTTCTGTATAGATATTATCTATATCATTACTGTATCATAGTCAAGACCAGAATATGTCATTCGTTTATGGTTTGCTTAGTGCGGACTAAGTTTTCTTTACGATTTCTTCAACTTGGTGACATATGGTAATAGTTTTGCATACGAAAATGCTTAAGTTGCTTATTTAAATAGAAACTCCTTTTAGGCTGCAGGAAATATATCCATTTAAGAAATATAATATCTGCCAAATATGTTTAACATTTCCGTATGAATTATATGAATTTAGAACACTCATTATTATTTTTAAAATTTTGTATTTAACACGCAAATATATATCCCTTAAACCAGTTAAGATGGGTTTAAAAACCAGACCCTCAGACACAGGCTAAAAAGCCCTTTTCTGAGGAATTAGTAGCCAAAATTATGTCAGTGTATATAAATAAAATTGTGCTTATGCCACTACAGTACACTAGTAAAACTTACCTTTGTAGCAAGTGAAAATATGTAAGCAGAGAATGTTAACGAAAGTTGCGCCAGAGAATGTTAATAAATTTTCTAGTTGCGCATACCGCTCTCTGTTATACCAGAGAATGTTAATAAGCTTTCTCGCTGTTACCTTTATATATAACTACCTATAAAAAGCTTTTTGTGTGCATATATGTATGTATGTATGTGATGCAAATTCACCCTTTAAAAGAAAACTTTCACTGAACTCCTGTCTGCAAATGCATTACGTAAATTACATAGAACTTTGTTAGAAAAAAAAGGTGCTAACCTGTGAAATCACCAAATTTGTCCATCAAACCAATTATATACGAGAGTCTGTTCTATAATATTTTCATCAAAAATCGTTAAAATTATATACATGTCGTTATTACTATCTGCTTAGAATATCGAAAGTTTATTTTTTGCGACTTTATGTACAGCCAATAAATTAGAAACGATAGAAAATGCAATTGTAGCATATAGGTAAACAACCGTTGTTTAACCATTATTCTTTCCACTTATGTTTGATAATAACTTCCACTGATTAGTGTTTTTTTTTGTGTTTTTTTTTGTTTAGCTCGCACCAAACACTCAATAATTATGGATAATCATAATATAATATAATAATATTCTCGATTTCTTTGATGTTATCGACTGCAACAGTCTCTTTTGCACGGGCCCTGTTAATTCACGTAACGCATAGTCCGAAAGACACTATTTAAGCCACGTTTCGGTATTACTCGAACTTTTTAAACCCAAAACAAGAAAAAATGTTAACTTCGGTTGCACCGAAGCTATAATACCCTTCACAAATAAAAAGGTTCCTTACAAGAACTTGATTCCGACCTAAATTCGTGAAGATACCTCGTCAAGTGAAAGAGTTTTCCATACAAGCACTTGATTCCGATCGTTCAGTTGTATGGCAGCTATATGCTATAGTGGTCCGATATCGGCCGTTCCGACAAATGAGCTGCTTAAGAACTGAGGGACTAGTTCGCGTATATACAGACAGACTGACAGGATATAATTATATTTTCTTAACACAAAAAGTTATTATTATTTTTTCTTTTTTATGTTAGACTAGCTGCGTTGTCCCCGTGGAATTTAACAAAAATGTTTTAATTCAGTTCGCTAAGTTTACGATAATTTATTAATTATGTATTTCGTGTATAAAAATAAATATGCTAATTTTAATGAAATTCTACTATTTTGAAAGTTAATCATTGGTCTTTCACTATTTAATATACAAATTTTGTTTTATTTTTGCATTTTTTATTTAATTATTATTTACTTTCAGTTTATCATCTTAGCTTTATTGAAAAATTTCTTTATACGCAACATTTGATGTACGCTGCTTTTCACGGACTAAAAAAAAACAACAATATTGGAATCCCACGCTCGTGAACATGCTAAATATAGTTTTCCATGGGTAAAGCAACCCTTAATTAAATCTATACCAGCTTTGCTTAACGTTTACCCTTGTAACTTTTTGATTGTCATCACAAAACTGGCATTGGTAGGAGATTGCAATCTTTTGAAATCAAGTGGAAAATTTTACGGTATTATAGGAATCCATGGCGAAAAATTAAAAATTGTTTTTATTTTATTTTAATATCGCTATGACATCTACTATCGGCCACTGAAAGTCCCATAAAAATCAGTCCAACCGTTTCAGAGATTACACGGGACAAACAAACAGACAGGCAGATTTACCAGTAAAGATCAGAAACTATGGCAATCGGCGGTGAAATTTATACACTTTGTAATCATAAAAAATGTTGCAAGGTACCCTTTATATATGAGAAATTTATGCGTTTAGATGAAAAGTTGTGACGAGGTTCCCAACATTAAAATAATGAAGAAGTTTAGAAGCACGTCTATATACATCCAGAATAGTCAACATATACATGTATATGTATATGTATGTATATGGTATATGTATACCAGCGAAGCAGGATGATTATTGGTTACAAATAGGTTACGATCGCATATTAAAGTATGCGTATATGTAAAAATTTTAAAGCTGATCTCTATAACGACATTGTCGTATTAGTCAATTGATATTTTCGAATAGATCGGTACAATCGTATTAGTCAATTGATATTTTCGAATAGATCGGTACAAAATTTCGTTAATCATCATATAAAATAATATGTTAATTATTAAACGTAAAATATTTTTTTATTGCCGCGACCGCTTTTATATTGGGATTAGTTGTTTTGGTTTTTGGCTGTAAAGCAATGTATCCCTACTTACACAGTTCTCTGAGCGGCTATGTTGCATGTCAACGGCAGCGTTTATATACATATATACGCACGTACAAGAGTGCATAGAGTTATCATACACTATGTTGTAATTAACTGAATCAATCAGCATGAAAACTATGTCGATGCCACCGTGATCATTTAACGCTACTAGATATTTCTGTTGAATCAGTTATTTGACGGCATTTTGTTACTCTGGTTGTTGATACATTGAAAATTGACGGAAAAATTATATTTTTGTGTCACAATAACATTCGCGAAATGAAATATACAATTTGCCTACTTTTGCAAGCATTTATTTTATTCGCAGCTTTTATTAGAATCAATGTGGTTTGGTGCAGCCAAACAATAGACGGCCGAGCACTCACTAAAGCGAATGAGCCGCCATCCAAAAAGCAGCTTACCGATGTGGTAAAAGTTGTGTCTGGTACTAACGTTAAACGCTTAGAGCGAATGACTGTTCCTTTAAGTGGACAATTCACGCAATATCCGATATATTTGGGTTATAATTATATCGGAGTGAGTACAAGTAGCTTTCTTTTCGTAAAATAATATACAAAAGTAATTTTAATTTTCTTGCAGGCCGTACCTCATTGGCAAGCATTCGCAAGTATTGTAGGAGAAGGAGAGTCTGCCATTAACGGAGTCGTTACCTTTCAGCAATTGCCCTACAATGGTGACATTAGAGTGACCATTAATATAACTGGACTACCAACAGGAAAACACGCTATCCATATACACACATACGGAGATTTACGCGACGGTTGCAAATCCACTGGTGGGCAATTCCCTAACAATTTCGTAAGTATACTGAAATGTATTAGAATTTATTGTTCAACCGTTTGAAGGTAGTTATGTATGCATATCATATATGTTATTTGTCTAAGGTTCAGTGTTAACGTTGTAAAAACATTTATTTATAAATATTATCAAAAGACATTGTAATAGTATATTTAATTTGAACAGATAGGCAATGTAGACACCAAAGAAGATGGAAGTATCTCATCAGCCTTTCGCAGTTCGTATCTAAATTTGTTTGGCTTCAATGGAATTGTGGGGCGTTCAATCGTTATTCATGAAAAACCCATCGATGTAAATATAGCTCTCAATGCTGAAGTCTTTTCTAGCTCACTTCAATCAATGTCCGATGCGCTGGCCTATCAAAATGAAGAAAACTCTGTGGGACCCGCTATTGCATGTGGGATTATCAGTATAACAAGCACAACGCCGGTCACTATTCCAACATAGAAATAAAAATATATGTATATACGTACATACATATGTAAGTAAATCTATTTCAGTATATACTTCATCATAGTATCATAGTATACAGTATTCAAAGGTTAAAAATATGACTTGTTAAAATATATGAGCATTTATGCTAAGCACTGGAAAAGTACTTTAAGAAGCATCGTTGTATCGAGCAACAAATTTATTTTCATTCTTTATTTCATAACTTAATAAATTTTTTTTTTTCATATGCACATTATGTATTTTCATGAAATGCATATGTAGTATGCTACTTTCTATTCTACGTCCAAATTACAAGTAATAAATACATATATTACATGAACAAATGTGTGTTATTGATTTAAAATATGTTGTTGTAAAATATCGTTACATGATTATTTTACCTACATTTTTACATGTATAGTATAGATACATGCATACTTACCACATACTTGTACATATGTACTCTGTGGTCAAAGAACATTGTTGAAAACAATGTACGAATCTTCTGCCTAGTTGAACTTCAGACAGAATTTTTTATTAGTTGTTGTACATTTACTGACTAGTTTGAATTTTTTGAGCAATTTACAGTCAGTCAGTGAAAGTGAGTAATTATTTAAACAATATTTGGAATATAAAGAGAAAAATATTCACTCTTTTATGTCTATACAATCTTCAGTTATTTGACTTCACTTCTGATTTTAAAAGGTAGAACCCAAGCGACAATAAGCCAATTTGTTATTATATTGCGATATTTTTCTGTATTAACAATCTTTAGGCGCCTATTTTATTATACTCTGAACAGGGTTTATTACGTTTGCCACAAAGTTTGTAACGCCCAAACGGAACGTCGGCGACCCTTTGAAATACTATATAAATAAATGATCAGCGTTACGACATGAGTTGATGCATATCTGTCGGTTTATATATACAGGAACTAGTCCTTAAGTTTTTGTGATATCATTCTGAAGACACCTTTTTCTCCCCAGGAAGTTGCTCATAAGTCGGAACCGCCGATATCAGACCACTACAGCATATATGTAGCTGTCATACAAACCGACCGATCAAAATCAACCACCAAAGCTATATCAACCAAACTTGCTCAGGACAGATCTTTTCGGCACCTCCTCATACAGTAAGAAAATAATTCAAAACGAATGATAACTCCGCCCACGTCCCGTTAGAAATATAAAATTTCACATCCTGCATGTCACAGAAAAGTCTCTTAGAAGCCGTTGCCAAAATTGAATGATGGGCGTGGAACGGATTGAAATATCTAATAGACTAGACTGCTAAGATACCAATTATATGTGCTCGTGAACCGTTTATATCGATTATTAGGTATGTTTGTTATTTTAACGCGGAGGATGAGTAGATTTCTACTTTTTTCTACAAATGTATTTTTTGGAAAAACAATATTTCATATTTTAAGACTTAAATAATTGTTGCAGAAGATTTATTTTCCAATTCAATAATTAAATATGAGCAATGAAATTTACATAGTGCATATGCTAACAATTATCATTAAAATATTAACCACACATATACATATGTACAAACATAAGTATGTATTTAATTACTATTTTTTTGATTACTTTGCTAAATTGCAGTTTACGCAACAAAACATAAAATATCGGCATTTCAGCTGTGCTGGCATAATGCGACCGCAGCTATGCATGTATATATATATATATGTGTGTGCAAATGAAAACAGCGCTGACAAACCACCAAAATGACAGTTCATTGCTAGCAATGATGGCATGAAATATATTTAGACAACAATTGCTAAACATTAGCAATTCTCCATTGGCAATATTGCTAGCAATACAGATTTTTAGCAATCTTGAATTTCCAGTTGAGATGCCCCGTAATAAAATTGAGCGGATAAGTTTACATAACTATAACGTGGTTAGACGTTGAATATGAATAAAATCGCTCCATATTAAATGAAATTTCTTTGGTTGAGTTTATATCACACATACCTCATTTAAATATAGCAAAATATAGTAATTAAATTTTGTATAAAAGCTACATACATATATAAGTTAATAAAATACCAAATCCGATTGTATGGATTACGATTTTGTCGGATAAAGCATTTTAAATTTTTATGCAACACTTTTTATTATTATTAATTAAGGTTTAATTAAATCCTTAAAGTACCTCCCCCAGCTTTGTTTCTTACGTTTTTGCGAGAGACGGTACAAAAGCCTACCATAATTTATCTACAACAAAAAGTGAGTGACCCTATCAACCTACGACTATCTACATGTATATAAAAATTAAATTGGGAATCTGAATTTAAAACATTATTGGCATCGTAACATGTGGATTCAAAGTTTGAACTGTAAAATCAGTAAATATATTAGCGGCTCAATAGAAAAAAGCTCAGGCATTCATTGCAAAATGTTTAGAGACGGAATACCGGAGCAAAGCTCTTAAACTTGACATAACTAGGAAGAGTTAACTTAACTAGAATCTTTCAAAAATACCTATTATTATGCATATAAGAGCGCTTTTCTTTTGTTTTTGGAGTTTGTGAATCTATTACCATTTAATTGGTGGAAGTGTTAACTCTATATCAAAGAAAACAATTTTACCGAGTTTTAACTTTCCATCTTAATCATATAAACGACAAACTTTTAGGTCAATCGGCCTCACCATGTGGCTGATGCATTTTCGTAGAGAAATAACGAGAGCATTTGAGAGCGTTAAATTTGTTTTACGACTGCGCAGATTGTTACGCACTGTAAACTTTCAATATCTACATTTGTAAGTAGTATTCTGCATATAGGACACACGAGAGTAAAATAAACAAGTCATATCGAACACTGTACAAGAGCCGTCTCTTGGAATGACAATGATTCCAGCATTGGAATATGTGATACACAACTCACATTCCTTTATTACGAAGCAGTAGGTCTTGTTTTCTGGAAAGCTCAAGCTCTGCGTTTCCTCAAGCACAGCCCAACTGAACTTGCGTGCTTTTAACATACTAGTATTTCAAATTTTGAGAATCAATTGCAATTGCAAAACAATGTTCGAACTCATTGGACTGTCTGCAAGCAGCTCATTAACGTTCATGTTAACCAAACTGCAAATAGTTTCTCATTAAGAAATAAATATATAAACAATATTTAAAGTTAAAAAAAATATATATATATTTTTAAATATTATTTTTTAATTTTAAAACTACACATAAAATAAAGCATTATTAAGCTTTAAGTTACAAAAACAATTGTAGCACTCTGACGACATAAACATTACATAATATGTAAGTGAAATATGGAATTGTTATAGCAAACAGTTCTTTCACATGCCATACTCGTATTATCGAGTGCTAAATCGTTCCATTTAATCTGTGGAGCTGAAAACTAATACCGTGTTTTTGAATAAAATTTAAAAAATGTTTGTTGAAAACGGCCATGTATGAGTATACACACATAAATTGATTCCTCATATTACGGAGTTCACCCATTCTTAAAACACTATGGCAATTCGCAAAGCGAATCTAACAATTACGTTTGCTTCATTGGGCTGATAGGTATGATGTATATTATTTACATATAAGGGATATTATTTGACCAAGTTTTGTTATTATAATGTTCAAACCTAATATTACGTCGTTACATAATTTATTGGAAAATTCTGTTGGCCCATTTACACACATCTGTATGTAAACATGGTTGGCATTATTTTGCCTTAAAACAATAATTGCTTTTTCATACACGCCACTTAAACATTTTGACCTTGGAAAGTGCTGATAGGGTATTAAGGCGATGGTATCAGTCATCAATGGTCCTCGTGGTTTCATAACTTTCAAAACACTTAGGAGAGCACTAACGACATACAGAAGTACATACATATACACACATACAGTATGTGTGCACACACTAAGCCGATTACATATAACCAACCAAATTGTATAACTTTTTTGCCATTTCTGCAAATATTATGGTTCTGGTTTTCTTCGATCCTAATTTAGCTGATCTCAAGTATAAAACATAAGTTTTATAAAAATTACCGAAATTACCAAAACTAAATGTAGTACATTGAAACAACATACCTAAACTTTCTTACTACATTACTTCATACAATATGTGAATGTATTAATACTAAAGTACATACTAGCAAATATTGATTTTGAAGCTAACGTGAAGTAATGTGTGCATGTGTGGTTATGTAATTAAAATAGATCTCAAATACAAAAGTGATTCCTTTTCCTACCCCTTTATACATACAAATGTACACATACTTACCATATACAAATTGACTAAAAATGGTAAATCATCACGAAATATTATATAAAACTGAATAAATGTACATACATACCCATACCCATACCCATAGTACGTACCGCTGACTACGATCACATATCCCCTTCACTTCATAACTGTTAAAATGTTAAATCGAAAAGGGAATCCTTTACACTTATATACACCCAAAGAGGGTTGGTATTGCAAATGGGCGGAATGGGGCCATTGCCATGCCCACAAAATTCCATTAGTCGAAATCCACTAAATTGCCATAACTAAGCTCCTCAATAAGATACAAAGCTGTTATTTTCAACGATATGCAGTAGGTAAGTGCATCTATGATTGAAATAAGTTTAATTTTAAAGTGGACGTGGCCCCACCTCTTAATAAGTTTAATGTAATCTCCTAAACTCCATTCGAGCTATATTAACCAAATTTACTCTGGACGACTTAGACTTAAATCTTTTTGCCATCCCTATTCGAATTATAGCAACGCCCACTGCCCATATAACTACTAAAAGTGCGTTAAACCTATAACTAAATAGGGATGGAATGTGAGGATTTCATAGGACCGCTATCAAATTTAGACGAAATGCGAACACCGCCCATATTTAAGTGAAAACCAATATCTCGAGACCTACTCTACCGATTTTAACCGAATTCGGTACGTAATATTATTCAAACATTTCTACATTGCAGTTCTTTTGAGATGTGCCACGTTATGAATTTTTCAAGCTCCCAGATACCGAATATGTGCAGCCCAGTTCTTATAGCGACCTTTTTATTGAAAATATCGGTCAGTCTGTGAGATATGTTATAGAAATGCGGAAAGAATACTTTTTTGATAATAATAAGTCTGTACGTCAAAAATAGGTTGAATCGAATCAGTAATTCCCTTAGCCCCCATATATCT